GTACGTTTTCGATACAGCAAAAATAAGGAAATGCCAGAGAAATGTCCTTGATATAATTTTTTTTAAATTATATTTTTATTAAAACTAGCATCATAAATATGATATTTGGTAACACTTTATTTCGATAGTCCACTTCAGACATTCTACTAACTATAAGTAACTTTTCAACAACATGTCAACTAACTGTCAGTAGAGTATTAGTAGACTGTCCGCTTAATATCTGCAAACACTTTATTGTGTTGGTCCCCCAACAGACATTCAACTGACTATAAGCAACTTGGCAACTACAAGTAAACTTATTCTCCTAACCCAAAGCCTTAACCATAACCTAACAGTCTACTGACAGTCTACTACAATATACTAATACTCTAATGAGAGTTACTTGTAGTCGAAAAGTTACTTATAATTAGTAGAAAGTCTAAAGTGACTATCGAAATAAAGTGTAACCTGATATTTTTTTTTTTTTTTACTTTGAGCCATGGTGAAACTATACTTGACCTTTCTTAGGAGCATATAAAACAAAACAGCTCCTTGGACAAAAATTAAAGGTTTATTTTAGCTCAGATTAACATTTGAGGGCAACAATTGTATTCATAATGTCAAAATTAAACCAACGTAATCTTACTTGAAAGCATTATAGCCTACTATTCCTGCCAAACTTCCATGGTTACAGTTAGTAGTGTTACTACAGTAAATGCATGGTGAATGTTGCTGATCTGTGGACTGATTAGTTCATTCATGCCACAATGTTTCTCCTGGTTCCACGTCAGCACGGTTTGATCCGTTAATGACGGAGAAATGGGAATGTTTCTCACTAGATCTTGCAGCGATGTTATTACTTCAGTGGCGAATTCAAAAGCTTTCTTTACTGGATTTGGCTGTGCAGTAACCGTGCTGATGATCAAGATCGGCTCCCGCTGCATTGGTCCAAACTGACCACACAAAAACGAGTATCTCAGTTTCATTCCGCTTACATTACTTTTGCCATTTGATGTTGGGCAATGTTGTGGTCACAACAGTGTCTATGAGCACGCTTGCCACGCGCCTACATTTGAAATAACAAAATATTGGTCGGCAGAAAAAATGGTCCAACGAACCATTCAATTTAAAAATGCGTACCGAAAACCGAATACCGAACGGTTCAATACGAATACATGTATCGTTACACTCCTAGTGTGTGTGTGTGTGAAGGGGTTGTTTACTTAGGCTATACTCTCTTGCAATTGGATGTGAATATGTTTACTCCTTAAAAACATGAAAGCTAAACATCATCTCGTCATCTAGTCAAACCGCATCACGACATCACTACAACTTATACAGTATGGGATTAAAATCAGTGAAAATCAATGTGGCTGAGTTACCTTGTTTCAGCGACGCTTGGTGAAACAGCATGGAGTGGATGTTTTCGATTCAAATGCTGAATCATTGAAGTCGTATACTGTTGTGGTATGCCAGGTCTACTTTGCAGTAGACACATTGCAACTTGTTCTCTTCCTTTTTAAGATTGTAATGATCCCAAACTTTAGACACTCTCTTCCGTTCATAGACATCTTTAATCTCCGCCATCGTGCCGTCTAAATTCAAAATCACCCGCTATGGTATGATCCATGCTTCGAGGTAAAGTGTTTGCCTGGAGGAATTTTTGTAATCGAGTTAATCGAGTAACTCTATGAATCGTTTCAACCCTAGTCGGCAGCTCATTTTTCCTCCTGAGATTGCAATCACCACACATTCTCACTGTACCCTGGGAGGACTCAATAGATGAAGCATATGAGCGAAAACATCTACGCTATGCTGAGCTAGCTGCTGAAGCACACGATTGCGGATGGAAAACTGAAGTCTGTCCAGTGGAGGTGGGGTGCGGGGGAGTTGTGGCTGTGTCTACCACCACACTGCTTGGAGTCCTGGGAATCAGAGGCCAGAGCCTGCACTAGGCCATCAAAGCAATGTCTGAGGCAGCTGAGAGAAGCAGTCTGTGGATAAAGAGACAAGGCTCTTGCTGGGATCCAGCTTGATTAGGTTATTGGGGGGATACACTGCGGGGACTTGATCACGCCCGTAGGGTCTTCCTCAACCGAGGATGTCTTTTTATAATGGCCGAAAAATCTAATTATGCTTGAGGCGTACTAGTGACGATGTGTCCCTTGGATCATCCATCAAGGGAGGATGCCCACCTGAAAACTCAACTTTGACAACTACACTGCCAAGGTCAAGTACATTCTCCTGGTACGTGCTTGCACTTAAAGGATGTATTACATCTCGTCCTGTGTTTCCTGAAAAAAAATTGTCATCGTTCACTACCCCTCATGCCAGTTCGCTGACACCAGATCAATGATGCAGTGAATTGAGCTCAAGGACTGGTACGGTTTGATCTGGGAACAAATCATTCAGATTTTTGAGAAAAAAAAAAAAACTATTCATTGAAAGGATCTGATTCAAAAGAATGATTCATTCAACTGTATACTTTTCTCGCCTTGAACACACAATGGAGAAATAGGCTGGATGTCAAAATTTTCAGTGAATAAATTACAACTACTGTAAGTCTATTCGTCACACTAATCTATCAAATGGCTTCAGAAGACCTTAATGGTGTACCAATCATTTGGACTACTTTATGGTGCTTTTATTGTCATTTGACAAACTCTCTCCCCATTCACTTTTATTATTTGAAAAGTGTGAAGGGTGTTCTTAAGAAATGCTACTTTTGTGCTCCACATACGAAAGAAAGTCTTTTTTTACATGGAAGATGGAACCAGTGACAACAAAACAAGGCTCATCAGCTGATTAAGGATGAATTTTCCTTAAAGGGATACTCCACTTTTTTTTGGAAATAGGCTAATTTTACAACTCCCCCAGAGTTAAACAGTTGGGTTTTACCGTTCTCGAATCCATTCAGATGATTTTCTGATATTTAGAAGAATATCAGTAACCAGACAGTTTCTGGTCTCATTAACTTCCATAGTAGGAAAAAAAAAAAAATACTATAATGGAAGTCAATGAGACCAGAAACTGTTAGGTTGATATTCTTCTAAATATCAGAAAATCGGCTAAATACATTTGAAAACGGTAAAACCCAACTGTTTAACTCTGGGGGAGTGGTAAAATGAGCCTATTTCCAAAAAAAGTGGAGTATCCCTTTAAGCACCACTAGGACATATGGTGTATGGTGACATGTATACAGAAATCAGCTGATGGGCCTTGTTTTGTTGTCACTGGTTCCATGTTCCAAAAAAAAGAAAAGAAATGGTCAACTTAATAAAGACTTTAATATTTACACACGCACATACACATATGTCCCCTACACAATAACTCTCCAACCCTACTGTACCTTCACAGAATTCTAATGGTCTTTGACAGTTTCTGTTCCCATCATCTTTCCTGAACACATTCATATTCAATGCAGACATGGAGCCAACTAACATAAACCAGCTCAGACCACCAAGAAGCAACATAAAACCATGTTGAACTGGATTTAGCTGTATTGTTTTAAATGTACATAGTGTTTCATTTGTTTTTTTTCTGCATTCAGACACCTCTAAAGTGAGACATATCATTCTAAGCTGTTAATTGGCCCCCATGGGCTGTGCTAAAGCACCAAATGTCAAATCTCTCATAGTTCCACCATTCAACTCATTCCAAGCAGTGAATTGGTGTCCATTTTGAACTCTTACTTTTTAGCATTGAGAGGGGAGGGAAGAGGCTCCCAGATCAATTGTTTGTAACTTGAATTCAGAGCACAGGTTCTGTCCCGGCCCCTGCGTAATTGTACCAGACTAACTCCCCTACCTAACCTCAACATCCCTCCACCTCTGAAAGAGCAGCTTAAATCAAACTCATTTTGTTCATATTGAGTGGCGGCAAGCGTCGCTGCTCACCTACACCTCTTTGTATGAATCCTCTTTCATTTCCCAGCCACGCAGGCTATTCTAATCGCTACCTGAGCAGCTCTCGCTAGATTAACTGTGATGGGGAGTCTTTTCACAGTTCCTCCCTCTGGAGTCATGCTCCGTTTGCCTCTATTGTTGACGCCAACAACCCACCTTTCACAGAATTCTAATGATCTTTGACAGTTTCTGTTCCCATCATCTTTCCTGGCTGGTCACTCCAATCGCATTTGCCATTCTGCAGGGCGCATTCGTATTCAACGCAGGCACGGAGCATGCCGGTAGGAACTGCAGAGCATTATTGGAGCACAGAAAGCCTTCTTCAGCCTTTAACCGGAACACAGACTGAGCGTGCCTCAGGGCTGTGTCTCTCCGTGCTCGTCTATTATATCCTCTAATGTCCATGACTATTACAGTGGGCGTGAGCAAAGACTAAATGTCTTTCATATCTGGCAGTTAATGTGCTGACAAAATGCTACTGTTTAGTGACAGATGAAAAGGTGGTTGGAAACTATACACATATTTATATGTGTTCTTGGAAATAGTTTGGTTATAGTAAATGTTCACAGCACTCAAAAAAATGGCTTTTTTGTTGTTGTTGTTGGATTCTTCTGATTAATTAAAAATATATATATTCACCGAACTTAAAATGCTAAGTTGCTATGACTTAACATCTGCCATTATTATCCAACAATTAATAATTTAGATTAAGTCTAACAAGAACAAAAAAAATGAATTCTATGAAGTTTTAAAATCTATGCTTTTAAAAAGTTCATTATTACGTTTTCTATTCGTCATATGAATACATACTACCATTGACGTTTTTTTTAACTGATCAAAAGTGACAAATAACAGTGTTACATAAGGTTTGTTAACAGCAGTATAACTGCTTAAATGTCCATTAATAATAATAAAAAAAAATGTTTCTTGAGTACTAAATAGACATATTAGAATGATTTCTGAAGGATTATGTGACACTAATGATGCTGAAAATTCAGCTTTACCATCACAGGAATGGGTTTCCTATATATATAGTTATTTTAAATTGTAATAATGAACATAAGAGCCTTCTTTCAAAAACATGAAAACATCTTATCTTAAAGCATCATATTGTACCTTATCTCCATCTGAAAAGCTGTGTCCATCACTTGCTCTCCTCCAGGAGATTTCAGGCAGAGGTTCACCCTCAGCCTTGCAGGAGATCATAGCAGCGCTGCCTTCAACAGCCGTCACGTTCCTCAGCTTAGTAATGTGGGGCTGGACTGCAAGAGAGGGTCAACAGGACAATGTGACAAAGACAAAAGAGTAACATACAGAACTAAAGAGTGGGGATATATAGAGAAATATGGAACAAACACTCAGCTTCTAAAAGTCATATTATATACATCACTGACTGCCTTTACATGCACTGAAATATATGAATAGTAATCCAATAGCTGTGAAGCATGTAAACAAATATAATCTATTGCTCAAAAAAGATTTCTTGTTCAGAGCACATATATCTCTTGGGTAACAATTCAGTAAAAATATCAGACTGAACTTATCGTCAACAACATCATTCTGGTCTGACTATCAAAAATCCTTCATGAGCACCCAGATGGAAGAGAAAACAACAGAATATTGCAGAAAGGTCATTGTTTTGCTGTCTGTCTAGAGTTCAGAAAAAGAAACAACTCATTGACAAGCACAACACATCTGTTGCTATCTGAATCTAACAGGCTCCCACTGGTAAATAAACATTAGTAAACTACAGGGGTTGTGTGGCATAGGAATACTTAAGATTCTCATCATAAATCTAAGATGAGGCTTGTCTTGTGTAAGCTCATTAGTAGGGTAACTGATGTACAACAGCGGCAGCCTTCAAGCAAAGAGGTGACACCATCGCAGCATTTAACCTGATAAATATACATCAGAAAATGCTTTCCCGCAGGGTGCACAATTATAGCGGATAAATAAAAGAGAAAAGTAGAACAGTAAGAAAAAATGGCAACACTTTACAATAAGGTCCCATTAGTGAACGTTAGCAACTGTAATGGATTATCTGACATGAACTAACAATGAGCAATACATTTGTTGCATTCTGATTAATCTTTAATGTTTAGTTCACACACAAAAAAAAACAACAACAACTTGTTAGTTCATGTCAGCTCAGGTTCATTAAATAATATTATACTACAGCAGCCTTTCTCAAACTTTTTTCAGTCAGGGCACCTTTCAAAAGTGCATAAAATCTCAAGGCACCCCAGTGTAAAATATCATTTAAAAACACTGCATAACCCAAATGTAAATGCAAATGTCTTGTTTAGTTAGACAGAACAGCAATGAACAGAGCATAATATGAACTGTAAATAACAATAATAATAAAAACTTTAAAAACACAGGTTTGCAAAGTAATTCACAAAATAACTAATCAGAGACACAAATGCCATAAAACCGTAAGAGGTGGGCCACCCAATACAAGAACCCAATAACAAATCCAGACCAGGAGAACTCAAATGAAGTGCAGGATGCAGTTAAAATAAAATAAAAAGGGGCAGACATTAATATATATTATATATATATATATATATAAAAAAATATATATATATATATATATATACAATGCGATAAGAAAAATATGCATGTTAAAAAATGCACCAGAGATAAGCAAGAATGTTTTTCCATATAGTGCTTGTTTTCATCCGTGCCATGCGCATGCACACACACCCACATACACATACACCCACACACACAAACAATAATCCACAACGAGAGAGGGAGAAAGATCTACATGCGTGCATGCAGCGCGCATACGCGCTCACACAAGCCGGCGGTGGGGGTGACCAGACGTGAGCCTGGTGCGATGCACACAGCCGCCCTATCTAGGCAGGGATGGATGAGAGACGGTCAGGTGTCTTAAGTTAGACACAAACGGAGAGGGCATGTTGCATCCCCAGTACCACTGATGAAGCCAAATTTTAGGTAGCCTAACTGTCGTTGTATGTTCTCATTTTAGCCTTGTCTAACGTTACCTTTGCGACCTTTGGTGCCGATTCAGAGCTGGAGGAGGAAGTAGTAGGCTGAGGCTCCATTTCACAGAAAAACTGTCCGGTTCTTGTGGGGATTTTCTTTTCAAAAAACGATCCATGATGCTGTAACTGAAGTGGCCTAAATTCACGTTTATTTTTACGTTTCTGTCAGTCTGAAGTGTTGTTGCTATAACGCGTTGCTATGAATTCCGTCACTTGCGTCAATTTGTGTTTGTGTCTTGCTTCGGTCTTGTGAGACGGATGTTTATGCTTCATTTTATATATTTATCTAAAATGAATTTACAATTTATGTACGTTCATATGTTTAAAAAGAAGAATGTAAATATGTAAATTCAAATATGTTTATTATTATATATATATATATATATATATATATATATATATATTTTTTTTTTTTTTTTAGCCTACGTAATTTTTTGGCGGCACCCCTGACACAGTCAGGGGGCACCCCAGTGTGCCGCGGCACCCACTTTGAGAAAGGCTGTACTACAGGGCCAACCCGGTCTCATCCCAAATCGTCATATAACTGACGTTTTGGGACGTCTTTTGACCATACGTCAATATTCGCCTTTTTAGGGCCCCCTTAAACGTCGGTAGATGAGGTTATGGGATCCTAACTCTACCCCATACCTAAACTTAACCCTAAACCTAACCCGTCACCTAACTGACGTTAAAGGTAAAGCGTCAGTTGTATGACGGCCCGGGATCGCCATCTACCGACGTTTAAGGGGGCCCTAAAAAGGCGGATATTGACGTATGGTCAAAATACGTCCCAAAACGTCAGTTATATGACGATTTGGGATGAGACTGTGTTAACAGGGCTGTTGAATGCTTGATTCTGATTGGTTGAGAACGTTCTAAAGGTGTGCAATTATGCGTAAGAAATTAGTCTAACATACAAGAGCGTTTTAATGACAAAAACTTGACAAACGTCTTGATATGCATCATCTGAACAATGTTTTGAGGTGTGGTAACTGTAGTATAAGCGGAATAATTGACTTCAGGCCGTTGAATTATCCGAAAAACAACGCACACCCGCATTACCGCATTACCACCTCGGGTGTGCATTATTTTTTTTAATAATTCAAAGGCCTGTCGTCAATTATTCCTTACTTATACTACAGGGCTGTTGAATGCTTGATTCTGATTGGTTGAGAACGTTCTAAAGTTGTGCAATTATTTTCAGGGAAACGCACGGCTCATTTCGGGCAAGTTTGAACCGCATTACAGTTCCATATCACTGCGTGTAGTTAACTGTAACGGAAAATAGGATACAATTCATAACAAGAGAAGACATGCAGCCCCATGCGCTTGATCTGCAATTTTCGATGTCTAACTTCACAATCAATTGACACATACAGTTTAATTTTAATAAATAAAGTATAGTCCTATCTATAATAGGCTAAATAGAAAATTAAACTTTTTCGATTTTCGTAATTATTCCGGATAATATAACAAATAAATAATTATTGATAGGCTTACTTGTTAAAAGGGCGTTGTGTTTTTCATTTATTGGGTTATCTACTGTCAATTATAGAAAACAATAATGAACGAATTAATAAAAACGAAGTTAACAAATAAATAAACAATAATATTGACGCACATCGTCACGTCTCTCACGTCTTTCTCTCTCTCTCTCTCTTCCTCTCTCTAATAACTGCATTAATAACTGCATAAAGCCGGGACAGACTAGTTTAGGCCAAAGGCAAAGCGTATGCACTACACATTTGGTCAAAAATACCCATAACATGTTTGACTGGCATGGTATAAAAACTTTAAAGGCCTTTTTCTCCATTTCTTTGTTTGCGTAGTTAGTGCACTTTGCCTTTGTAAGGCCAGTTATGAATGTAATTTGATACTTCTGACTGATCATGCCCAAACGCGCATTTAGTCAGTGTTCACAGAGAGTAAGACCTGCTAAGTTACAGTCAATGGAAACAGTCGGTCTTCGAATATTTCAGCGAATTGTAAGTGTGTCCCCCATCATTACATTAGTCTGCTATAAGTGGCTCAAACCTTACTAACTCTAAAATGACATTTTGGAATTAGCAACGGGGGCATGGGATTAGATGCGTAAGAAATTAGTCCTACATACAAGAGCGCTTTAATGTCAAAAACTTGAAAAACTTCTTGATATGAATCATCTGAACAATGTTCTGTAGTACAAGCGGAATATTTTTTTATATTATCTGGAAACATATCAATTAATAAGCAGTTTTATTGCTTTTTAAAATGAAGAAACTACTTCCAAAAAATCAGAAAGTCCAGCACCATTGGCGGACGTGTTGGTTTTAGGTCACACTGACAGTAGGGATGCAGCGATTATCGAATTTCACAATTAACCGCGCTTTAAAACGTCACGGTTATTGATCGTAAAGACTACACCGAGTGTTCCACACGGAACGGAAATTTTGCAACTAGCACAAAACGAAAACAAAGTTACACCAGCGGTGCATCACCTTAAAGTGACTGTGACTTAAAGGACTGATCTGAGCTCTCTTTCGTGTCTGAATAGACAAATACACATTTTGTCTAAATGTCCGTTTTGGACAGTATTTATGTAAACTATGTCGGTTATGTCTTAGTTGTGAGTGTATCGTATGTGCATCAGTGCAATTGAATCCGCATGTCATTGAAAATGATCCGACATCTTAGTGATAGTGGATAATAAACCTAATGGTCTATCTATGTCCTTAATATTGATCAAGGAACAAAAGAAAAAGAGAAAAGCATTCACTGCTGTTAATAGATTTAATAAGGATTAATTATATTCATACAAATAAATATGCCTGTTTGAAAGAATAAATAATTATGTGTGGAAGTAGTTATTGCAAAGAAGACTGTGTTTTACTTTAGAAAAAGTGGATTTTAAATTGTTAATATTTAGCTTACATTTAATTCAATAGATCCAAACACTTTGTTTATTCTTATTTTCATTGAGATTTATTATCCCTTTATATTATTATTTATGATTTTAAGTCAAATACCAAAAATATTTTGTTTTCATGTTTTCTACCTCAGGTTGAAAATAAATTTAGAGCAAACTAGACGCTTAATTATTTTGTGATCTATTTCAATCAAAGAGCCCTGCAGGCTTTGACTTAATTTGTTATTTAAAAAAAAATAAATGCTGAATGTTTACAAAGCACTTCTCTTTAATTCCAAAGAAAGATATTGATTATTGTTTGTCATTTTATAATTTTGTAACATATTGTGGCAGCGATAAATAACACATTAAAATCAAAAGTTCATGTGAATAGATTAGTACATTAGTAGTAGTAAATCGTGATTATTTCTCAGACAATAATCGTACTTACAAAATCTGTAATCGTTGCATCCCTACCTGACAGAACTACATATACTCTCACAGACTCAACCATGATAACAATAACAGTATTGGGTGAAAAAAATCTTTCATGCCTCATACAAGAGACTATTTATCTTGTGGTGCACACTGAAATCTAAAAAAAAAAAAAAAAAAAATAGGATAAACCTAATGACACTGACTGGTTTGCATTTAGATGTTCTAAAGCTGTCTTTAGAATAGATTAGGACAACTTTTTTTTTTTTTTACTTCTTTGTTAATAGATAGCAAATGCAACCCATGATCTGTACACAATGTCACTTTCTTTGCACACTTTGAACAATATTCATTATTTAAGAAGGATTACTAAAACACCGCCGGGAAAAAAACAAAACAAAACACAAACATATTAGCAAATGGCAAAACCGTGCTGAGATAAGGCGTGACGAGATAATCCAGCTCTTAAACCTTTGGATGCCATTCATTCAAAACAAAAACAAGTTTTATGAGCACACAGGAAACGTGAAAGATACGTGCCTAGCTGAGCGGAAACCCTAGCAACTCCTTCTCTGTCAGCTGTCAGTGGTCATAAAGGAAAGTTACAACTCAGGATTCCACCTCGCTTTGCAAACAAAACTCCCATCCAATAACGGGGGATCATTTAAATGAGATGCTTTGAAGAATACCTTTTGCTTGCACATGGAAAGGATTCTGATGACTACAGAATAAATCTCCATACATTTACATGAGCAGACAAGGTGCTATCTGAATAATCTGTGAAAATGTTGCCAACTTCATGAAAATCGAAATTCTTTGGCATAAAGGTTGTGTCACCCATCCTTATGTAATTTAGGCTGTCTGTTTATGGAGGAAAAGTTGTATGGCCAGACCAGAAATCACAGGGATTTTCCTGTCAATCACATTGTTGTCAAAACATCAGGGTTTACTCAGTAACACTATCCATTAAGAAGATCTAAAGTTTTTACTTTAATAATAAACTTGATTTTGCATTTAGGATTATTATTAATTACTGGCATGCCAAGTTAATAAGGGATATTAATATTTCAGGTTTATATAAATAGGTGGTCATGGTGCAGTGGATATGTCCATGGACATATGTCCATGTCTTTCTTTCTTCAGTCGAAAAGAAATTAAGGTTTTTGATAAAAACATTCCAGCATTTTCCTATAATGCACAGTGGGAACCAAACGGTTCAAGGTCCAAAAGACAGTTTCAGTGCAAACTGTTCAAAGGGCTTTAAACGATTCCAGACAATAAATAAGGGTCTTATCAAGCGAAACAATCGCTCATTAAAAATATACAACGCATTCTCACCCCAAGGCGTCACCTTTGACCATGCTTCAATATTTGACGTTTTAGGCGCCCTTTAGCGTCACTTACATGACGCGATCCTATGACGTCATCTAACTGACGCTAAAGGAAAGCGTCTGTTAGAGGACGCGGTTAGGTTTAGGTGTGGGGTGGGGGTAGGGTACACGCGATCGATCCTAGGGCGTCATCTTACTGACGCTAAAGGGCGCCTAAAGCGTCAGATATTGAAGCATGTCCAAATGCTTCCCAAGGCGTCAGTTAAGTGACGCCTTGGGGGTGAGAATGGGCTGAAATATAACAAATTTTAAGTTTTATAAGCTCAAATGCTCGCCTTGCTCTGTACTGTGATGCGCGTTCGTGACTCTCCTGTTCGAACTCATCCATCAAAAAGAAACGAATCTTTTTTCGTGTCATTTGGTTCAGTCAACGAACTTGGGAAAAGATTTGTTCATTTTGATGAACAAGTTTGAACAGGAGAGTCACGAACGCGCATCACAGTACAGAGCAAGGCGAGCATTTGAGCTCATAAAACTTAAAATTTGTTATTTTTTGTAATTTTTATTTAAAAAAAGTGATTGTTTCGCTTGATAAGACCCTTATTCATCGTCTGGAATCATTTAAAGGCCTTTGAACAGTTTTTACTGAAACTGTCTTTTGGACCTTGAACCGTTTGGTTCTCACTGAAGTCCATTATATGGAGAAAAATCCTGGAATGTTTTCATCAAAAACCTTAATTTCTATTCGACTGAAGAAATAAAGACATGGACATCTTGAATGACATGGGGGTGAGTAAATTATCAGCAAACGTTTTTGCAAACTCTTTTAAATGTAAATTTTGTTAATAATATTAATTTAAATTATTTTTAATGGACATTACCATTCAAAAGTGTAGAGGTCAGCATTTTTTTCTAACAAAATGAATACTTTTATTAAATGAGGATATATTAAATTGATCAAATGTTACAAAAAATGTAAATGTATTATACAATTGAATAAATGCTCTTTTTAACTTTCTATTTATCAAAGAAAACTTAGAAATAATGTATCATGGTTTCCACAAAAAAGCACAACAAATTTTAACATTGATACTGTAACAGTTAAAAAAAGGAACATCTAAATCATAATATTAGAATTATTTCTGAAAGATCCTGGATATCAAAGACTGGAGTAATGTCTGCTGAAAATTCAGCTTTGACATCACTGGAATAAATTCCATTGGAAAATATATTAAAACAGAAAAACGCTATTTGAAATTGTAATATTTTACAATATGTACAATATTATGATTAAATATATGCAGCCTTATAAGAGACTTCTTTAATAATAATAAACTTAGAAAGCCCAAACTTCTGAAACAACATTCGCTCAGCATGTAAATGTTCCATTTCACAGTTCTCCATATGCATACAGTACATTTTAACTGCAGAAAAACCTGGAGAAAACCTTTTTTTAAAATGTAAACACTGTTTTTACATGAGCTGTTTTTTTATAATGAGCTGATTTTTCATACTAAGATGTTTTGCTGCACATGCGAACACACTCAATGATCCACAACTAGAATTATCACTACATGACACAATACTGAAAGAACAACAAACACAAACACCAGTGCAAAATATGCAATAAAAAGCTAAACAATGAGGCTCTAATTAGTATGATTTATTCATGCTGGTCACACGTGACATGACAACAACTTCTGGGTGACGAGGCACAGTGTTGGGGGGAAAACACTGTTGCCTGGCCTTGAAGTAAAATCAACACTTGGCACAGTAACCATCTTGACAAAGCCTGGCTTTTTCCTCATTATACACTAGTCTGTGGCTTCAATTTCAAATGATTTATATGAATATGTTTAGATAGCAACAACTGTCTTCTCTTATAGGCTACTTTTACACTGCAAGCCCTAGTGCTCAATTATTTTTTTGTACAGCTATTTACATTTTTTGTTTAAAAATGTCCCCTGTGGTGAAAATCAAGTTTTTAATGTTGTTTATGTCTTGTGGTGTTTTTAATATGCTTTAAGACAAACCCTATGCAAATTTCAAAGTCAACACCATTGCTTTTCGAGTATTTTCTCCTTAAAACTGCGGTGAACCAAAGACAATCTCAAAAACGTCTGACGTCACAAACTACCTTGTAACCAATCACGTCAACGTTCCTGTGTACTAGCAGGGGAGTCGTGAGAGAAGCCAGGTATATATATATTTTTTTCTGATATGGAAAATTGGGTAGATTTAGCAATATAGTGTGTGTATGATGTATATTACGATGCTATGATGAGCTATATGCCTTTCTCCATTTGCGATCTGAGTCGTTTAAAGCGTTTCTGATGATGGCGAATGGGAACATAGTTTGTGTAACATTAGCGACACATTATTATCTGTCTGATTAGCAAAAGGCTAATCATTAATTATCATTATGTGTCGGACGTAGTAAAAAGCAAGACCATTGTGCAGCGTTTACCTCAGTAAGTTAGCCAAGTGAATCTGTGAGTGGAGGCGGGGCTAGTTAGCATATTCACGCAGTTACACGGTAGAAAACACAGAAAACATTAAAGTAAGTGATTATGCATTTATTTATAGTGTGAACTGCCGCAGAAGTCGGCAAATTTATGCGCAGGCAGTAAAAAATAAAGACGAGGGTGTGAAAAAAGAGCAGGGTTTTTATACATTTATGATACCAACCCTCATGTTTTGCTTGTATGAGCTGTCAATGTAATACTTATGAGCTCTCACACATCATTGCCCGTCATTGACTACTTTTCACAACTGTCTTGATAACTTCGGGTATGTAACATTTTTGAATGACAGAATTGTGACGAATGTTGCTCTAGAGTGACATAAGTCGCATGAATTCTGATATGACTGTTCAGACTGAGGTCACATAGCAAAATATCTGACCTGTATCGGATTTAATATCACATACGGACATGGCCCATATCAGAAAAAAAAAATAAAAAAAAATAAAATTCAGCTTTGGGTTAATTTGCCTGCTGAATATAGGCATATTTTGATGGGTAACATCATATTTAACAGATGTAGAGTGATAACTCAATAAAAAGGAGTTCTCACCAAAAACCTTGAGAAACAGCTCGTGCTCAACTTCTCCCGCCTTGTTAGAGGCCTTGCAGGTGTAGGAGCCCCCGTCGTCCTGCTGAATGTTTCGAACTGTGAGCGTTGTACCTCGAGCTCTCATTACATTCCGCTCCGATTCCTGGAGCTGCACTCCCTTCCTGACAAACCACACATACACAACACATGTCAGTCGAACAAAGCCAAAATTCTCAACACTGTGGTTGCATTCATATTGCAAGATGAAAATCTCCCCGACAAGACAATCAAAAAACATTGCATAATGCAGATGTAAGAAGCAAAGAAACGCCAGGTGATGGGTTATTCATCATAGACGGAGATGCACCATTTCAGAATATTTTGTTACGTTACATTCAATATCCATACTGTAGGTATGCCGCCGAGGTGGAGACAGGATAATGAAATATTTTTTGGGAGAAGATTACAGCACGGCTTCAGTCTGTCATAATGTTAGGAGAGGAATGAGCGGAAATGAAATCTATTTAAAGCAGTGAGACCTGTGTGGCTAGAGGAAATGGGGAGAAGGGAATCAAATCATGCTCTCTATCCACAAGGAGTCAACAGAGACATAAACAGACGGATCCTCAAATCCAGGAAGCCACTTGCAACACAGCTGATGAAACTCAGCAGATGTTTTTCAGCCAAAGGACATTACAACACACTAATTGGAGTAACACTAATTGTACACAAGTCTCACTGGTGCAAACAAATGCTGTGCTCCAGAACACAATGGTAATAGAGCAGGTATGTGATACCAGTAACTTCCCAATCTCCAGGAATTAACTCAGTCTGTCTGAAATATATTTACAAATTGTAAATGGATAGTTGATTAATACCCCCTTCCTTAACATAAAAAGGGTTCACATGTATGTGTGACCAACGCATTCTCATCCCAAGGCATCATATACTGACGCTTTTGCCAATGCGTATACATCCATAGCACATGGCACAATTTAGGCCGTGTGTCCACCAAAGCGTTTTTAGCCAGCTAAAAACGCTAGACGCTCTGCTGAAGACGCCGTGCATTGGGCGCTTGAAAGCATTTTGGCAGCGCAGCGTTTTTTCCGTTGAGACGTTTCGTTGCTATGATACAGAATATGCGCAGCAGTTTGAATGTTGACAGTTGGTCGGTGTGGTGTTAGTCCCGCCCCTCCTCCACTGTGATTGGACGGCTGGGTAAAAAGTGACAGTGATGAGCGCTGCGTTTTATCCAAAGTTGAACATTTTTCAACTCCCAGCGACCAGTAAAAACGCCGGGCGCTACACTCATGGCGTTTAAAAAACACGGCACTCCCATTGACAACAATTGAAAACATACGCCAGGCGCGTGGAAAAACGCTTTGGTGGACACACGGCCTTAGCGTCAATATAACACGCTTCGTTTATGGGTAGGTTCAGGTCTGGGGTAGTATTAGGGTTAGACCACTAGGAGGCGCCTTCTGGCCCATATATATCTGCATCTCATATTGACGCTAAAGGGTACCATGTACGTTGGATATATACGCATTCTCAAAAGAGTCAGTATATGACGCCTTGGGATGTGAACGGGCTGTTGTGACTGGTTAATTTGACCCTTTTCTCTAGTTCATAATTTATAGCAAACAAACAATCTAAATAGTATCTAGCTATGTAATTACAAACTGTAAATGTATAGTTGACAAATACCTAACATAAAAATCAGTTTTTGTATATGCAATATGTTGTTTAAGCAAAAGTGTGGTTTAATGACTAATAAATATATTTCTACAGTATATGTGTGTGTCACTGTCTCCATCTGCAATTTCCAAACAAGGATACATATCAGGGGGACATTACATGCAGTCATGCAATGCTTACGTTGTTAACTAACAATTTGAGAACAAAGTATAATTTGCACGGTTTTGCGTGATATGATAACTACTCATTCATAAGCGATGTTTAGATTTAATCAGCGTGATGCAGCAATGTCAGAACCAAAACAAAAGTGGATGTTTCTTACTATTTCAGATGACATTTTCCGGTGAAAATTCTTATGTTGGTCATACTTCCAAAAAATATAATCTTTGATTCTGAATGCCAGTATCCACATCGGCGCAGTGACAGACAGCCTCACACTCTCCTCAAACATTGTGTTCATCTGCGCTGTGCTGTGTTGAGGGTGTCGAAGTACAACTCACGTAAAGTTGATAATTTCGCGAATGACTGCAATTGCAGATTTCGAACAGAGGTGGCGACAAAGAGGAAAAACGCTGGACAGCAGCTTTAATAATAAAATCGGCTACATGTATGTGTCACTGACAACTTTTGAAAAGATTTGACCCTTTTACATTTACATTAATTTATTTAGCTGATGCTTTTATCCAAAGCGACTTAAAATTGCTATATATGTCAGAGGAACCCGGATCTCTCACACCAAAGGCATGTGTCTTATCCACTGCGCCATCACCACCTATTTTAAGCACTTTATTCATGAATTAAGTATATATCTGCGGCATTCCTCACTGTTCACAAAACTAGTTGGTTCGGGGCTGTTTACACAACACCGTTTTCAACAAAAAACTGTAAACTTTTTGTGCATTTTGGCCTTTCATTTAAACAAAGTTTTTGGTGCCTGAAAATGCAAGTCTCTGTGTAAACACAAAAATGCAAAAATATCTAAAGATGATGACGTCATGCAAATGCGTGTTATGTGTTCAGTCTATAGTGTTCCATCGCCATCTAGTGGACTGGAAGAAGAATACAGCTTTTTAGTAGTTTTTGCGGATCCGTGTGTTGATAATGGTGTCGTCTGTAAGTCTGTACTCGGAAAACTCATATCATTGCATATCATTGACGTGTAAACGTACCCTTAGGCAGTATTAAGTATCAAATTTAAAATTAAAATTATTAATTTGTGTAATTTTATTTCAAATTACACAACACTATTCAGACTTTAATTCTACTGGAATGCATTTATTTATAGCTTTTTCTCCACAATCCTTTTTTTTTTTTTTGGCACATCACACATGCACACACAAAATTAAATGAAACTATTAGGTTTTAGCAAGCGCAATGTAATTGGTGGTGGTTTGTTAATGTCCCAGTGAGTGGTTTGGTTAGGCTCATTCGTTTAAGTTTAAAGTGCAAGAATGCTCGAAAGGGATTGGTTTCATCACGTTCATTCTCATCTGAGCCAGAGGTAATTACAGTGATTGAGAGCCTGTAATCAACACATTGTGCTGCTGTCACTCAAAGCCTGCACATTACAGATGGAATAAATGTGTCCATTCTCTGTTATCACAGCTCTTTCTTGGCGGCGCTACCCCCGTTCCTGTTCCCCAATTTCTGCTTCCTCAGTGTGACACCTAAACTCATGAGCAACATTTGTGCAAAATTTTAGTCATTTTTAATGAAAGAGTATCGTATATCTTCGAAACACAAATGAAGATCTTTTAACGAAATCTGAAATATTTCTATTCCTCCATTGACAGTCCACGACTACCCCTGTGTAGCTTCAAAAAGTTAATAAAGAGATCGTAAGACTTATCCATATGAATCAAACAGTTATTCCAAATTTTCTTAAGAGACACGATCGCATCATAAGTAAGATCAACAGATTGAATTTAGGCTTTTATTCACATGTTTAATCAGCAAACATAAACAGAAGCTCAACCGCTTGACGTACAAGAACAAACTTCATTGGTTCTTGCGGAAGCTCAAATGTGCTGTGTATCACATGAGAATGAATTTCATTTGATTCTCTCACATCAACAAGCATGCTTGAGCTTCTGTTTACTGATGCGTGGGTGGATGAATGTTTATATGAGAATAAAAGCATAAATTCAGTCTGTTTATCATATCAAGCAATCGTGTCTCTTCAGAAAATTTGGACTAAACCGCTGAATTCATATGGATTAGTTTTACAATATCTTTATAAACAGTTTGAAGCATCAAAGTGTTATTTGAATAGCTGTCAATAGAGGAACAGCAAGCTCTCAGATTTCATTTAAATATCTTCATTTGTATTTCGAAGATGAACTAAAGTCTTACGGTTTTGGAAAGTCATGAGGGTGAGTAAATTAATCACTTATATAAAACAGTTATATAAAGTTATTGCAATGTTTTACGGCTGTCAATCAATTATTTTAATATGACTTCAAAATAAAATACATTATATAGACTTATATTTCAAATAATTGTATTTTGTATAATTGTACAATCATATTTAACTGCAAAAAGTTCCAACCCGATCTCACGGGAATTCGTACGAATTTTACGAGGTGGCTAATTCGTAACAATTTGTACGACCTCACTCGTATGAATTAGTACGATTTAGCTAAATCGTACATATTTTACGAATTATCCAATTCGTATGAATTCGTACGAATGACCTACCCCTGACCCCGCCCCTAAACATAACCGTCACGTGGGTTTAGATAAATCGTACAAATATGTACGAGTGAGGTCGTATGAATTAGTACGAATTAGCCACTTTTGAATCACTCGTACGAATTCGTACGAATTGGTCGTGAGATAGGGTAGAAAGTTCCCCAAAACAGATAATTCAAAACCACACCATTATTGTAGCAAACAAAAGCAAACGAGACAATGTGGCTTTAGATGTCTCTATATTATAGTTTGTGGCGATGCTGATAAGTCATACCTGTGCCAGGTAACATCCGGTTCAGGTGAGCCATAGGCCCGGCAGGTGAAGGTCACAGACTCTCCATAGTCCGCAGTGGCGTTGAAGGACTGCTGCGGCACAGAGACAACCGGTGGAACTGTTTGACAGAGAAAAATATTGTCGGCCACCAATGAATTATCCAAATACACAAACTTAACTTGTCATTTTAAAATTGTACGTGTGAAATCTCTTGGTGAATTTCATGTAATTTCTCAAATGTTTAAGTGTCAACAAATACTTATTCAAATGACATATTCATACATAAGCCATTAACATGTTCTCATGTTCCCTTCCTGGGAAATAGTGGTTGACAGCATGTGGCCGTCATTGAGCTAAATTAATGCTTGAATGTTGTTTTCTTAAGAAGCAAGATGTAAATCGCTCAATACAATGTCCAGTCATGCTGAAAACAGCTGTTTTGACAACACAAATGGTGTTTTATCCTGAAATGTAGTGAGTTTTCATTGATATTCCAACACACACACACAGGCACAGCAGTTGATAGAACTAATTCCATTCACTCACCTTCATGTCCAGCGCATACAGATCAACAACAACGTGATCACACTCAAAACGCCCCGTCACAAGCCAGAAACAGAATGAATAAATACATCAGCCACCCTCTGTCTCTGAATCAATATGTCCTGAGCAGTCTACTTAATTATATAGTAAAAGGTCAACTGAGAAAAACCTTGGGTCAAACAAGAGGTCAACCTGGATGACCTCAAACAAACTTCCACAAACAATCTCACAAAATAATGAGTTTTTTCAGACTTTATATTCATGAGAAAAATCGACTTATCTTCGCAAAGTGACTGTTTACAGCTGAGAGTATGTGTGTGTGTGTGTGTGTCTATTAAAGCTTTATATGTGCACTCCAAGGTCAGGCAGATATAGCACCAATTTTCATTGGCAGAATCTATTATTGGTATATGCAATGATTTGAGTGAGAATTTTTATATTTCCATCTCTGCAGAGAACTGGAAGGTGATAAAGTAATTTCAGACTGAACCTAACCCAATTCCGACTCATTCAGAAATTACTCTGCCTTGCCATTCAGAATGAGGTAATTCACCTGAGAGGGAACAGCGTTCAAATAGTTTCAATAATAGGCAGCAATGTTCTTCTGCGAACTTCCAAAACCGTTTTTTAAATACAGCATCTTTGTTCCCTTTTCCAATATTCTGGATTAGGGAATGGATGGACCCATCCTGTCTAGAAAAAGGCATCATTTTGAGTTGTGACTGGTTTCAAGACATAACATAATTTAATGGAGTGTGCGCCGGGGTAAAAAGATTAGATTAAATGGATGTTTTATTCATGGTCACTTTCAGCCTGACTTGGCAGTATATTAACACATCGCTCTCATCCTCTATTAGAAATCATAAACGCACACACTATTTGCTTTTCCCCTGGCACATTACGGGTCATTCATTAGGAAAACCCAAACTGCTGACAGCCAAGTTTAAATTAATGCCACGATTGTTTTGCCATTTGCCATTTGTCTTCAGTCCATCTATGGCACGCATTCCTCCCGCAAGGGCACTTTGAAGAAGAATGAGCATGTTTTTGTTGATCAGATGACAGCCGTGGAGGTCCTGATGGGAATCATCATCATTACGGATAGAGTTCAATTTCAAACCTCTATTCAAACCATTCAAAACCAACCATTCAAACTCAGCATGGTTTGACCACTCTCCAGGGTTCAATAGACAGTCTTACAATTGAGCTGGTGGTAATGAGAGTGTCTGTGTGAGTGGGCAGCTCAAAAATTACACAGGGCATTGCAGACTTGTTGGTTTTTTATGTTTTCTCTGACTTTGATTGTGCTTTTTCCCCCATTATCACAGCGATGGTCTAAAGTCACACAATGGCTTTATTCGAGAAAGAAACAACATTGAACATTGCTATTTTTCTCTTATTCATTTATTCAAAGAGAGCAAGGAAGTCAAGATTCAATCATTGACGAATCAAAAATGATTTGTGGAAGTTCAACTCAGTGTCACAGAAGACCACTGGAGATGAAGCTTATCAATGATTAACAATTTCAAAGGTGCAAATGAGAAATAATGTTGAAAGTGGATCAAACTGAGGACCACAACATATTTGTAGCCAATGGGGGAGAAGAAGAGAGATGGCTGGGAGACAAAAGAAAATAGGTCAGAGGAATATCACTGGAAAGAAGAAGGGTTATGAGCGGGAAAGAGCTTTAGGTCCTGCATTAACATTAGAAAAGCTATCCAGCCCAGGATAGACCTAAGCGGGAAGCCCTGGAAATGGACACAGAGGTTGTGTTGTTTCTGTTATAGTTATGTATGTTATATATAATTGTATAAAAGTATATAATGTTATAGTAACATGACAGTTTTGAGTGTCATTGTTTGTCTGAAGCTGTTGAGCTGCTGGTGAATAATAATGAACTCTTGCTCTTTTGTGTACCGTTTGATCCATCCTTGTTGTTCGTTCGTCATCTTCTTACATTCTGCACAGTATTTGCTTCGCTTCGGCTATAAAGTGACATCCCTACATTGCGTGTTCATGCATTTTTGGGGCAGAGCAATGAAGGGAGGGAGTGTTTGAGTTGATTTAAAATATCTAGTGTTTCTCAGAAATCTTGAAGTTGGATTTTGAATTTGGTCAGTTTCTCACTCAAAGTATGACTTCAGAACACTTTCACACAAGTTGTATGGACTATTTTTGATGCTTTCTTGTCTTTTGTAAGGTTAAAACAGTCCCCATACATTGTAACTGTATGAAAAAAGTGACACAGTAGGCTGCATCAAAAACACACGTCTTCAGAGTTCATCATTTGTGTGTGTGTGTTACATGGAAGAAAGTCAGTCAAGATGATTGCAGAATTTTAATTTATACTATTTAGTGAAATATCCTTTTAAATTTGCACACACACTGTGGAACGCTGGTAAGAGTCAGAGGAAACTGGAAACGCATGTGCGAGCTCACACACACACACACACACACACAGCACTGGGCTATCATGCACCGAAATGGTTTCAACAAGATTATTATTGACTTTCTTGCCAATCGATGCCTATTTTCCAAAGGCAGTAATCTAATTTAACCTATTCCCAGATAAGCATGCCCAACTGAAACAGCTCTGCTAATGTGAGACACAATTGGGCATTTAGACATCAAATCAAGCCAGTAAACCATCTGATATAGACTGAATTGACCTTTAGTATCAATAACTACATTCTTTCAAAGCCTAATAATCCAGTTATAAATAAAATGACTATAAACTAAAGCAGTTCTTTTGAAGGACAGTGAGAACACTTATGAGTAAGAACTGACTGTAATTGACCAAAAGCAACAAAAACATTAAAAATCTTGTAGGAAAGAAAACCATATTGTAATTGTTCCTCTGGGACAATAGAGAACAAATGATGCTTAAGGTTCCTGCTTGTCAATTTTTCTCATGGGAATAGAAAGCAATAATCTCACCAATGGATCATTTACAGTATAGTTTTAGATGAGATCCCAACAGTTTCAAATTGTATATCGATTGACCAAGAAACATCTAATTAAAGCTCTCTGATAATTGTAAAATGATTTGTACTACACAACAGTTCAAAAGTTTAGCATCAGAAAGATTTATTTGAAAATAAATGAATACTTTTATTCAGTAAGGACACATTAATGCAACATTAATGTCTTTACTATTTGAAATAAAGAAAAATCCTGAAAAATGCATCACAGTTTCCACAAAAAACATTAAGCAGTACACCATTAAAAATATGATAATTCTGAGCTATGAAAAGCAATGAAAGAGAAAACATTTCCATAATGTCCCTGATATGTATACAGTGGAGGAAATAATTACTTTATCCCCTGCTGATTTTGTAAGTTTATAATTGTCTATTCAATATCAAACAAAATTCCAGAAAAAACACATCATATAAAGGTTATAAATTGATTAGCATTTGTTCCTGAAATAATGATTTTATCCTCTACCAACCAGCAATAATTCTGCCTCCCACAGATTGGTTTAGTGCCCTTGTGTAACACAGATTAGCCCTGTCACTTTAAGAAAGTACTCCTAATATCACCTAGTTATGTGTACAAAAGAAACCTGTCCACAGAACATATCTTCCATTCCAACCTCTCCACCACCATGGGCAAGACAAAGAGTTGTCAAATGTCAGGGACCAGATTATAGACCTGAACAAGCCTGAAATGGACTACAAGACCATCAGCAAGAAGCTTGGTGAGAACAACTGACAACTATTGGTGCCATTGTTCGGAAATGGAAGAAATACAAAATAACCACCAATTGCCCTCAGTCTGGAGCTCCATGCAAGATCTCGGATGATGATGAGAACGGGGCCATGTTCTGTCAAATCTTGGAAAAGAACCTCCGTCCTTCAGCCAAAACTCTGAAGCTGGGTTGTGGATGGATCTTTAACAAGCTCCAGTGGAGAGATATCCAGATGTTTATTCGCCTCTGCCATAACGACCTATCGGTTTTCATTAAACCGAGAAAAAATTTAATTTTGTTTTATTTACGATCACTGAGAAATGTTCTATTATTTAAAATGCAAAAAAAAAAATATATATATATATATATATATATATATATTATTATTTTCAAGGTGAAAAGGATTCATTTTCCTGGATCCACGCCGAAGAAAACGTCTAAATGTCACATTTTTTAATGAAGCAGCCTAAATAGTCCACTTTGGAAAATGTGTAGATGTCAGGTTTTCATTAAACCGAGAAAAATGGAATTTTGTTTTATTTACGATCACTGAGAAATGTTCTATTATTTAAAATGCAAAAAAAAAAAAAGGTGAAAGGTGAAAAGGATTCATTTGCCTGGATCCACGCCGAAGAAAACGTCTAAATGTCACATTTTTAATGAAGCAGCCTAATGAGTAAAATGTCTATTTTTCCGGCGTCCACCAGCTCCTCGTTTAGCAAAAGGTAGGCCTACGCTACAATTACATCGACGTTAAACCACATTAACCATATTAACCATAACCTATACTCGACCTAGTTCCATTGCTAAATGCTGCGTTCCAGGCAGGTTTTTGAGCACGTAAATAAAGACTTCAAACCACGACTTACGACTTTGTAGCATTCCTGGTCATTCACGTCAAACTACCTACAGTAGATGTAAACAAACCAGCATGCGGACCTTACGGGGCTCACGCGCATTTGTAATAATTTCTAACGCCAAAGGTGCTTAACTCCTTGTTTATTTGTGGGAAACTGAGGAGGAAAAATAGCGCATGAGGCAAGATAAGCTGTTATACCTTTCATTTTACTTTATTTGTATATTATTATTTGGAAATGTATTTGGTATTAATTTATCCTTGCACTCAATGGACTGAAAACTAGTTAACGTTATATTGTCCTAAAGTGTATTCTCACCGAGTACCGCCTGCAGAAACACTGCAGCCGTAGGGTCTGTCATTGTAGTTGGGCTATGTGACGTCAGAACTCGTAACTGGGAGTACATCGCGGTCTACGAGTTCACGGGTGGGAAGTCACGGGTTTGACTGCCGTTCCAGTGTACTTTCACGAGTATAAGATTGGAAAAACACGAGTTACAGGTTGCCTGGAACGCGGCATTAGCAACGAGAAGAAACTCCTGTAACTTCAGTGCCCAACCCGTATCACGACAAGACGTGAAATAATCACGTTGGTCCACTTTTGAAAACGTGTAGATGTCACGGTTTAAACCCCCTCAAACATGAAACTTACACTTAAACTGAAACTTACCATCACGACCTATTGGTTTTCATTAAACCGAGAAAAATGGAAGTTTGTTTTATTGACGATCACTGAGAAATGGTCTATTATTTAAAATGTAAAAAACATTTATTATTTTCAAGGTGAAAAGGATTCATTTGCCTGGATCCACGCCGAAGAAAACTTCTAAATGTCACATTTTTTAATGAAGCAGCCTAAATAGTCCACTTTGGAAAATGTGTAGATGTCACGGTTTAACCCCCTCAAACGTGAAACTTACATGTTTGCGTTAACACGCTCCAGTGGAAAGATATCCAGATGTTTATTCACCTCTGCCATAACGACCTATCGGTTTCATTAAACCGAGAAAAATGAAAATTTGTTTTATTTACAATCACTTAGAAATGTTCTATTATTTAAAATGCAATATATATATATATATATATATATATATATTCAAGGTAAAAAGGATTAATTTGCCTGGATCCACGCCAAAGATGTCACGTTTTTAATGAAGCAGTCTAATGAGTAAAATGTCTATTTTTCCGGCGTCCCACTGCAGCTCCTCATTTAAGCAAAAGGTACGCTAAAACAATGTACCCTATTACATCGACGTTAAACCACGTTAACCGTGTTAACCATAACCTTTTAAATACTCGACCTAGTTCCGTTGCTTAGCAACGGGAAGGAACTCCTGTAACTTCAGTGCCCAACCCGTATCACGGCAAGACGTGAAATAATCACGTTGGTCCACTTTGGAAAACGTGTAGATGTCACGGTTTAGTTTAAACTCAAAACCATAAATAGGGCTATACTGCCCTCTTGTGTCAAATTATATTTCAATATTTATTTTTTCCAACAAATAAAACCAAACGCTAAACACCATCCAATACACCCTTGAACTCAATAGAGTCAGTGGCTCAGTTGATAAAGCGTTGGGCTTTAATCAAGAAGACCTCCCAGATAGCAAACTGACATTGAATCAACGTGGAAATATGACATCGAAACAACGTTGATCTGACATTGTTTTGCTCATCGAATTAACGTTGAACCAACGTCAGATGCGTCATTCTTTCAAAACTAACGGAAAATCAACTTGAAATCAACGCGTTGTTTCAACGTTATGAAAGGAAACTAATTTTCGATTTCATTTAGCTTTGAAGAATGCCGCGTCTGACGTTGGTTCAACGTTAATTCGATGAGCAAATCAACGTTGTTTCAATGTCATGAGAGACGTCGTTTCCACATTGATTCAATGTCAGTTTGCTGTCTGGGCTGAGTTCAATTCCCATACTTGCTAACGTTAAATTGTTGTGATTATATCAAACAAAGTGTCCAAAACAACATTTCTTCAACCCGGTATCACGACAAGACGTGAAATAATCACGTTGGTCCACTTTTGAAAACGTGTAGATGTCACGGTTTAAACCCCCTCAAACGTGAAACTTACACTTAAACTGAAACTTACCATCACGACCTATTGGTTTTCATTAAACCGAGAAAAATGGAATTTTGTTTTATTGACGATCACTGAGAAATGGTCTATTATTTAAAATGTAAAAAACATTTATTATTTTCAAGGTGAAAAGGATTAATTTGTCTGGATCCAGGCCGAAGAAAACGTCTAAATGTCACATTTTTAATGAAGCAGCCTAAATAATCCACTTTGGAAAATGTGTAGATGTCACGGTTTAACCCCCTCAAACGTGAAACTTACACGTTTGCGTTAAGCATGACAATGACCCAAAACATAATACCAAAACAAACTAGTAGCTCAAGAAGACACACATTAAGGTAATGGAGTGGCCTAGCCAGTCTGACCTTAATGCTGTAGATAATCTGTGGAGGGAGCAGAAAATTTGAGTTGCTATGTGAAACCAAGAAACTTTAAGGATTTAGAGAGTATCTGTAAAGAGGAGTGGACCAAAACCTGGTGACCAACTACAAGAAACGTCTTACCTCTGTGCTTGCCAACAAAGGTTTCTCCACAAGTACTAAGGCATGTTTGCATGGGGATTCAATACTTATTTCACTCACAGAAATGCAAATCAATTAACAACCTTTATATAATCTGTTTTTTTTTTCCGGATTTTTTGTTGATATTCTGTCTCTATCCGTTAAAATAAACCTACCATAAAAATTATAGACCCTTCTTTTTTTTTTTTTTTGTAAATAGGCAAACATACAAAATTAGCAGGGGATCAAATAATTATTTCCCCCACTGTATATACAGCAATTATAGTGAAAATTTCTCAACATTTAATGACATGAAAACTTCAAATAAAAGTGTCCAATAACAACACCAATAACAACCGCAAACACAATACTAAAAGTACATTCCAGTGTCACTTGTTTATGCAAACTAATTGAATGAAAACTCCTTAGGAAATCCTCTCTACTTCTTGAACAGTCATTTTCATTCCATTTCTATTCATATCTATATTAACATACACACATCATGAAGGGGCCAAAGGAAAGCTAAGCTCTCTGCAGCTACTCACACATTAAAGCCACAAGATATTACAGACAGTCTGTTTAGTATGTATGGCCTGGCCATTTCAAAGTCATCTGAAAGTGTCCAACAACACGTGTCCAGCAAACTTCGAAAACATCAAAACGTCTCCGAGAGGACAAAGACATATTAATTTTGTATTCCCTATCTAACACTTATCTGACCAGGGGCTTCTGAACAGCCCCGCAGAGTGGCATTTATTTTATGTCGGCCTCTGATAGGTGTTGTCATGTCGGCACGATTATCGGTCATGCGTCATTGAGCACCATGATTGAATCAGCGAGGAAAATATCAGAAGTAAACTAAACAGACACCCGTTCATGTTCGCTATCATTGCATTATACAAGGACAAGCAGACAGGGTGATGTCACTGTGCCGTTTCCCTCCCATCAGAGCGAACAGGGCTAATGTCATTGAGATAACAGGATATGCACGGCTTTTGTCTGAAAGATAAGGCTAGAATTTGTTTAATGGAATAGTTCACCTAAAAATTGGGATTGTTAATATAATGTAATCAGTGTTGTGCCTGAACGCGTTCATATTTTGGGCGAACGTGAACTGAATTACTGCCTGATGAACGTTACTGTGAACGCGTTCATTCTGGTGTCTGTGAACTAACGCTCTTCTCAGTTTAACTTCGTACAATAGGGTGCCAGATTTCTATAGAGCCTTCCAGGGGAAAACCCGGCTAAAACACACGTAAACAGGCCTTAATAAAAAACACCCAATCTGGCAACACCAGCCAGCAGTGTCGCGCTGCGGCCGCCGTCGACAAAGCAGCGAGCGAGGAGGCGTTGTATGATCATTTAAACGGATTTTATGACGAGGTCGGTGAGAATGGGAAAAATCGTACTTTTCTGTGCAAACTGCCCGTCGATAAAATAATTGTTGTCTGTGGTTGTATATGGGCTGTGGCAATAATAATAAAAAAAGCGAGCTCGCAATATATGGAAAAAAAGAACTATAAATGAACTAGTTCATTTTTTGAAGTATGAACTATGAACTGAACTAGTTCATTTTAAAATGTGTGAACTGAACTTTGAACTAGTTCATGTAGAAAGTGAACTTTTCCAACACTGAATGTAATAATTAAACTGAAAGATCTCAAAAAAGACTGGATCCTACAGCTTCTTACACGCTGTGTGCTGAAAATATCTTCCCAAACTCACCGTTAACCACCAGGATGATGTCCCGGAAGTCAATCTCTCCCCTGGCCTCGACTCTGGCCTCGCAGCGATACACTCCTTCATCTGCTTTAGTTACTCTCTGGACTTGCAGATTGTTGTTTTGTAAGAGTTGAAACTCTGTAAAAGAAAATATTTGATGGTGTTAATGACAGGCAAATTTGCCTTCAAAGGAGCTATTGCTGGCAGAAATGACATTTACATAAAACTCAACATTAACTTTCAATAATTCAAATGTTCAGAGACAATAGCAATTATCTTAAAACAATATAGTTGTTAGTCGGTATGGCAGCTGACTTACTCTCACTATCTTCAAGGATCTCCACGTTGTTGTAAAACCAGGAGACCACAGGCACGGGTGAGCTGGTGACATCACAGACCACTTCAGCCACATCGTTCTGTCGAAACTCCTGGGGAGACCTCACGTCTCTGAACGTCAGCTTCTCTGTGGAGCAGGGAGGAGAAAGATTACGTAAAAGGCTAAATAGGGTACAACGGAGCAAGGCGTGCAGGGTGAAAGGCACCTTTGGTTTTTACTTTCCTCTAAAGGGTCACTTCACCCATTTGCATTAAGCTTTGTATCTTTAGAAACCCAGTCATATTTTTGAATGGTCATGGTTTATTCCCTTATTTTCCCCTGAGATGGGAGAAATAAGGATTTAAGTGTTTTACTTCCTGCTTATTATGACGTAAAAATCGTCATTTTGCGTCACGATAAGCAGGAAGTCATATTTCATTCAAATCTGTAGAACTTCAAACATTAGCTCATTATTATTCCAGGGTGTGGAACCCACTATTACAGATCAGTGGGTGGGACTTCACTTGCAGAAACTGAAATCAATATCCACCATCTTGTTTGAAGGGTAAGCTAACAAGTGCTGTGGAGATAGTAAGTTATGACAATGGCGCTCCCCGTTTTATGCTTTCGCTTCTCCGTGAGAGACTCGAGACCGGCGCGCGCCTCACAGGTGTCTTCCATTATCACTCACACCACCGGCCTCGCGCGGTGCGCCATCCTCTTACATCCCTTGCCCTCGATCGTCCTGCTCGCCACAGCCAACTAGACATTTTGTGTAAAATAAATTTTATTTTCTGTCTTTTCTCGGTCAAGAGGGCACCAAATTAAAAAAAAATATATTTTACATTTCGACCACATATATGGTCCACTTTCAATAAAGATTGATGTTGCAATGGGTGAAATGCTCCTTAAACCACTAGATGGCACAACAAATTGATTCTGTGCTAATTCTATTATTTCTAAAAGATCATGTGACACTGAAGACTGTGATGGATGGAAATTCTGCTTTTCTTGTAAAATATATTACAAGAGAAACCAGTTAATTTAAAATTGTAATATTTCACATTATTACCGTTTTTACTGTATTTTTGATCAGCCTTGGAGAGATTAAAGGTGCTGTAGGACATCTTGGAAAATGATAACTTTAGCCTGATAGCACTAAAAGCGTACTCCCTGCAAATTGCCGTTCGAAGCCACGCATCCTGAAAGCATGAACGCGCACAGACAAGACCAGAGACAACCTTACTGCAATACCAATATCATGTGTCATCGGTGAGAAAACTTGAGTGCAGCAGGCGCGATGACTACACAAACTTACTCCCGGTCATGTTGGAAGCTGGGCACTATTTTCAGGCGCTGCGTCATAACATTACGCCTGCTGCACTCATGGTACGACAGTTTCCTAATTATTACGCAGGAATGAGAGTATAGTTCCTAGTCATATCAGCCTAGAAAATCGCAAATTTACATTTTCCGTCTGTCTTAGTGCACGATGTAACTATAGAAGAGTCAAGTTTTAAATAGAAAAAATATCGAAAAATATCGATTTCTTTTTTTTTTTTTTGGGAGAAATGCCAATGGTCTTGTGCTCTTCAATGATGTATGCTAAGCTATGCTAAAAGTGGTACCGCCAGAACCGGAGATCGGCTGAATGGATTCAAAAAAGGTACTCAAGAGTTTAACTCTGGGGGAGTTGTAAAATGAGCCTATTTCCAAAAAGAGTGGAATATCCTTTTAAGGTTTTTTAAGGGTTTTCAAAGTAGTCTCGTAATGTTTCCAAACTTTTGGCCGTTAGTGTACATTATTTTTTTTTATACATTTTATATTAACATTTTAATGACAGTATATTTATTGATAAAAAAATAATTATTTTATTTATTTAAATTTGTATCAATACTTTGAGCCTTTTTCCCCATGCTGGTGAGTCTTTTACCCCGTTTGTGAGCCACCTCATATTTTATATGATTTTTAAACAAAATAAATACATTTTATGATTTATTTTCAGACAAAATCTGCTGCTCCATCAATGTTCACTAAAACATATATATTTATTTTCTGCATTCACACGCTATGGGAGTATAGTGAAAAGCACATTTTTTAAAGGCCTTTAGCCCCATTGTATGTACTATCGTTCAGATGTTTGGGGTCAGTGAGATTTCTTTATTTGAAAGAAATTCATTATTCCATTCAGCTAGGATGAATTAAATAAAGGGTTGGTAAGACTTCTTTCAAAAACAATTAAAAACTATAATGTATATTCAATGCTACATGACTGTTCGGTCCAAAAACCAAGGATGCTGCAGTGTTTTTTTAAACAAGGTCCCTCCTAAGGGCACTGATCATGACATCTGATCAAGAACACATTTGAGTGCATGAGAATTAAAAATAAATCCTTAGCAGAAACAATATACAAACCAACCAACTGCCAAACTGTATCCACTAGATTGTGGGATAATATTAAATGCAGCGAAATAAATATCTTTGTCAGATAAAGACGATTCCTACTAGACAGGATGTTACAGAAACACTGGATTTGAAGCCATCCTTTCTCAGGATACTGCATAAAACAGTTGGATACCCCCAACTGAACTATCATAAACCAAAGACATAACAATAACTCCACTCAAACTCTTTCAAAAGCACATCCTATATAATCTTAGTACTTCAAATGAATCACATCCCAGTGCTGCTACACTTTTATACCTACTTATTTAACGGTCAATTTTGTATTTACTTGTGGTATTGTCTTTTTACTGTCCATATTTAGTGTTGTCTCCTATTAGTCATCATGTTTGTCTACTGAATGCGTCACTGTTGTTCCCTGAAGGAAATGTGCTAGGTTTTATCCATTGCCATGTGATGTGCTAAAAATGACAATAAAGTTGACTTTGATCATGTGATAAGGCAGCATTTTCAGGCTTAGAACACATCTGTATCTGTCTGAGCCACGGCTAAGTTGTTAGTGTGCATGCTCTGATATGGTGTCTAGTGCTTATGTACTGTAGAAAATGCAAATTCTATTCTACCTTGTGTACCCTCTAAACTGTGCAACTCTTTAATGAAATATAAAACACAAATAAACTTGTCCATTAAGCTGGATACTGCTAATTGTTCAGGATGGGGTTGTATGTTGGGTGGAAGTTGTAGAGATTTGATTTTTATCACTTGAAACCCGACGTATGTAGATGAAAGAAACAACACGAAGGCTTTGGAATCCTAGTTCAGACCCCCAGTGAGAAAACCAAAGAAAAATCAAATGAAAACAAGGGACGTGTCAACATCTACGTCTGCTTGTCACAAATCAGGTGTGCTTTTACATAGTCTCTGATTATTCACAATTCACAGAAACATTCTGTCACATTCTGTTTGTGTGGGAAGCTGGTGTAAACAGCTGCTCCAGCGCAGTATAAGGAAATGTGTCTTCAGAGGGCTGCGAGATGCTGCACACCCTCATCAGCACAGCAGCTCTGCGTATTGATCTGTGAGTCATGTCTGTTTACACACGGCTCCCACTGCTCCAAATTCAACTTCTAATGGAACAGGCCAAATGCCATCCATGCCTGGTACAAAGACAACCACAGAGAAGCAAGCTTGTGAAATATCTCTTGAAAGTTTTGCAACATCCACTAATTATACACACAGAGGATTAAAATATCATTCCTGAACATTAAAAAGAAAGAGAATTTCTGGTGAACATTTCATGTAGATTTGTTTTACCCCTGTGTTTCATGCCTTTGAAGTCGGCCCCTTTAAAAGAAAGATTTCCTCACTCTTGCACCTTTCTCTTTTTTTCCCCACTTTCTGTGCTTGGGATCTCTCGCTTTCACACTCGTTCTTTATTACCTCTTCCCCATTAATTTCAAGAGTTTAACAAAGGAACAACTGAGGCAGTTAATAAGTTGTTAAAGCATAAACCATTATTTTATATTTTTTATGAGCTAATTAAACAATAATAAGTTTGTTAATAACAGTCACCATGAATGAACTCACTTTATAAAACCTACTAATGTAGAGGCTACAGTATATAAACTACACTGTAAAAATGAATATGCTTTATCTAATAAAAAAACAAAATTGTGGCAACAGATTACAAGCAATATTATTAATTAAATTTAACAAATTAGAATTGAGTAATAATGAATCAAATTAATTCCTTAAAAGTTAACCATTTAAAATGAGTAAAACTTACACAAAAAAAAAACAAAAAACATATTAAATCACCATTATGGTGATCCGTGTTTGTTTGTTTTAATGTTTGTTTTAAAATGACGGTTTTCTCCTTCAGTGATTCAGCTTGTTAGCATCATGTGTCTTCAATGTTGGTAATATAAAATAAAGAGTTCTTAATTAATCTTTAAAATCTGTCTGTTAGTGAGATATGTTTGTTAATTTTTTTGGTGTAAACTTTACTCATTTTAAATGGTTAACTTTTAAGGAATAATTTGATTAATTATTACTCAATTCTAATTTTTTATATTTATTAATAATATTGCTTGTAATCTGTTGCCACAAGTTTATTGATTAGATAAAGGGTATTAATTTTTACAGTGTATGAATGAATAAAATAGTAGTTTGCAAATGATTCATACGTACTTCATTACTCTACTTATTATCAAATGCTACTGCTATTTGTCCTGGAAAATAAGACATACTAGGAAGTCACTTTTGTAGTAAACTCAGTGGCTTTTTAGGAATAAAATTCAAAACTTCAGAATTTTCATTTTGAAGTGAACTATTTAAGAGCTCAGCTCACTAGGAGAATATTAGATATAGACTTCACACTCTAAAAAAATGCTGGGTTGTTTTAACACAAGTTTGGGTAAAATATAAACAAACCCAGCCATTGGGTTAAAAATGTAATTTAAAAATGTAACCCAATGGCTGGGTTTGTCCATATTTTACCCAAACTTGGGTTAAAACAACCCAGCATTTTTAGAGTGCACAAGTCTTGAAATATAGTCCTATGTTGATAGTCATGATACTTTTTTGGCACTTTTGGTAATTTTTTTATTAACTTGAAAGCTATTCATAATTTACAATTTAATAAAAAATACATTCTATTAAATTTCTCCTGTTTGTTCCACAATATAAAGTCGTGAACTACTGCTTTAAATGCACCACTTTAAGGAGCATACAATTTGGTTGTGACCACAACACAACTATTCTCTCTTTATTATAGTGAAGTCATCCCCTTATCCCTGTCGCTTTCCCCTTATCACTAATGCTGGTTTTCTCCCTGTCTTGTGGCGGCAGCTGTCTCGTTGTTGGGGGAATTACATTTAGCTTTACATCAACAGATTTGTCAAACATCTTCGGATGGAACACGTCCATTTTCCCTGCATTGTGAGGCTCTCTCTTTGAAAGCTCTTGGATGTCCTATTCAGAGGGAAATCAAAACAGCTATTTCAATGGCAGCTTTTCCAATGGTGGAAGGTTTTTTTGTGCTAACACACATAATGTCCTTTGCCATGTAATGGATTCCCAAATAGTTGTGCCAAGATGTTGTTCCATTGTAATCTGCATCAATATACAGTACTCTATTGCTTTTACAGCTGGGACACGCTTCCTTTTAATATGCTGAATAAATCTCAATGTAAATGTATGATCATTTGAGGTACAAGTTTGCATCAAATCTAATTTCCAAAGAGAACAAATGAGGACAGATGGAGGGTAGCAATCTTTTTTACTTCTTGAGATGCATAATATATATATATATATATATAGAGAGAGAGAGAGAGAGAGAGAGAGAGAGAGTTTGTGCATTAGATGCCATTTCAACACAAACATCCAATGACAATAGGTGAATGGGGACAGCATCCCCACTGCTCAGAGACCACAGGCGTGCCATGAAGCCTCGAATCCCCTGGGTGGATTCTGTACCGAGTGCCATGAGCAGGTGGGAGGAAAAGCTGCTTGCTTTTCATGCTGAAGAGCCCCACAGTGTTGAATCACAGGCGATTTAGAATCCAAATTCTCTAATTGGTTCTGTCTCCAAACACAAGCAATATACAGTAAACACTTTAGCATTAATGTTTAACAATTTGTTGTTCTATGTCTAACTGAGCTGCGGTGCTCAAGTGATGCAAGTTCAGTTCTGGCTCATGACATTTCCTGATTTCCTTCAGCATAGTACAGAAAATACTGTTCAAGTTTGGGGTCAGTAATATATATATATATATATATATATATATATATTTGAAGAGTTCAGATGCAAAAGCCTCTAAATGCCATTTGAAATTTTCTTCTTTAATGACGCTTTAATCAAACTTGTATATTTAAGTTCAGTAATTTCACTTAAATGGCAATGATAATTACCTATTAATTGTTATTTAAGTGAAATTACTGAACTTAAATATACAAGTTTGATAAAAATCATCATTAAAGAAGAAAATTTCAAATGGCATTTAGAGGTTTTTGCATCTGAACTCTTCATATATATATATTTAATGTTAAACATAATTAATTTTAATGTTACTTCTTTTTATTTTACTATTTTTTTACAGTAACATTGTATGTACTGTATTCAATTTTTTTTAACAAGGAAAAGTTGTGGTTAAAAGGCCTAATGTAATTGTATAATCTTTATAAAAAAAACAACAACAACTTTACAACTAAAAACAGAGGAATTCATTATTCAAAGGGCATTTTGTGTTGCTACATTATGGGATATGTTTGTTATTTTACTCCCAGTCCCCATTAACATCTGATCCAATTTCAAACGCCTCTACATACAGTATGCAAAGTTATAAAACCATGACGGTAATAAAAAGTGTGTATTAGCAGAAATATTTGTGTGTAGTGTGTTTGATACTTACGATATATCTCCAGCACCACTGTGGCCTCCTCTGTATGTCCCTGTACATCGCTGGCCTGGCACCGATAGATTCCAGCGTCTTCTATTTTGGCATTGTAGAGGGTGAGTCTGGAACGGATACCCTCATTGTGCAGTGCCACCCGCTGAGACGGGACCATCCGCTCCCCCTGTGGGTTATACCAGTCCAGATTCACAGGCTCCCCGATCACTACAAACACACACACGGTTACGGTCATATTGCGGTACAGAATAGTGTAAATGAGTACTTGACAATATTGCGCAGCATTTGATAGAGCATAGGACTGCACAATTGCCGTATTGGAAAAAACTGACATGCAATATTTTGTTTTTTCCCCAGCGATATTTATTGCTATATGAAAAGATACAGAAATGTACAATGATTCATTCTAGAGTGAGTAGGCGGATTTTAGGAGTGCATCTGCATAAAAAAATACAATATATAAACTAAAAAAAAAAAAAAAACAGAAATGTGTCAGATTTCAAAATCCTTGATTTTTTCATAGTAACGTATAGTGTAGCTAAATACTTTTCCAGCTTGACTGTAGTTTAACTACTTTAACTTACGAGTAGCTTGTAGCTTGTCAAACTACAGTTTCAGAGGAGCTTCCCCAACACTGCGCAATATTTATTATATTTTTTGACATACCATGTAGCCCAAATATAGTATGTTCATACCCAAAAGGAAAGAACTGGACATGTTTCACTGCCATTCCATTTGGTGCTGCTAGTGGTGCAGAACTTCCCCTTTAATGATATCTCTTAAGCCGCTGGTACTGGCATGCACAATCTCTTTGTCTCTCAAACACACACACACACACACACACACACACACACACACACACACACACACTGATAAACAAAACCTGTCATGCGCTTTGCCCTGCAGAGAATGGCTGACCGGACCCACATTTGGTACCAAGGTACTTGGCGCTGTAAATCCTGCTTTGCTGGAAGGTCATAAAAAGCATCAGCATGGTGCAGCACTTCTCCGTTCAAAGCATCAATCAACTGCACAACAGGGGCCTTCGGCTGCACAACGGGGGAGCGTGAGACTGCGGCTCCAGGCAGACGGGCCGGCCGAGGATGCAACCGGCCCTGTGATACAGCTCTGCCAGGGGACAGACGCTGAGAGCGGGCAGGGGGTTATCAGCGAAGGAGTAGAGGATGATCTGTGGGACGTGAGGGGTTCAAGGAGAGGACATGGCAGTATAATCTCAGTCCATTCAGCAGATACTGGACCACGGAGGAGTTGCTGAAGGGGTTAGGATGAGATTTTAGGGGTTGAAGGGCTCAGGGACAAAGCTTAGAGTACTTCACTGGTCACATAAAATTGTTTTTGCTTGTGAATAGTTGCTTAGTTTTAATATATGGCATGGTGTATTGGTTAAAGATGTAGGCGGGCAATCAAAAGCTTGAAGGTTCAAGCTTGCCAAAGAGGGGATTCATGAGATATTAACACTGTGCCCTTGAGCTAGACACTTGTTCCAGTAGAGTACTGTCAGTCACTGTTAGGACCGCACGATTTTGCATAAAACAATTTATTAAAACTATTTTTTTTAATGGAAAAATGTGGGTGTTCATATGGTAATCTCTTTACAAGACTCAATACAAACCTATTTCAGCAAGTAGAAAATTAATAATAATAATAATTATGCCACATGTGTCACAGTATACACACACCTAAAGGATTATTAGGAACACCATACTAATAATGTGTTTGACCCCCTTTCACATTCTGAACTGCCTTAATTGAACTAACTCATTGTCATGTTTAAGAAACCAATTTGAAATGATTCAAGCTTTGTGACATTATCCTGCTGGAAGTAGCCATCAGATGGGTACATGGTGGCCATAAAGGGATGGACATGGTCAAAAACAATGCTCAGGTAGGCCATGGCATTTAAACGATGCCCAAATACTAAGGGGCCTAAAGTGAGCCAAGAAAACATCCCCCACACCATTACACCACCACCACCAGCCTGCACAGTGGTAACAAGGCAGTATGGATCCATGTTTTCAGTCTATTTACACCAAATTCTGACTCTACCATCTGAATGTCTCAACAGAAATTTTTCCAGTCTTCAACTGTCCAATTTTGGTGAGCTCGTTTGTAGCCTCTTTTTTCCTATTTTTAGTGGAGATGAGTGGTACCCGGTGGGGTTTTCTGCTGTTCTAGGCCATTCTGCCTCAAGGTTGTGTGTGTTGTGGCTTCACAAATGGTTTGCTCGGTTGTAACGAGTGGTTATTTCAGTCAGAGTTGCTCTTCTATCAGCTTGAATCAGTCGGCCCATTCTCCTCTGACCTCTAGCATCAACAAGGCATTTTCTTCCACAGGACTGCCGCATACTGGATGTTTTTCCTGTTCACACCGTTCTTTGTAAACCATAGAAATGGTTTTGTGTGAAAATCCCAGTAACAGAGCAGATTGTGAAATACACAGACCGGCCCGTATGGCACCAACAACCATGCCACGCTCAAAATTGCTTAAATCACCTTTCTTTCCCATTCTGACATTCAGTTTGGAGTTCAGGAGATTGTCTTAACCAGGACCACACCCCTAAATGCATTGAAGCAACTGCCATGTGTTTGGTTGATTAAATAATTGCATTAATGATAAATTGAACAGGTGTTCCTAATAATCCTTTAGGTGAGTGTAGGTCACATTGCCACTGTGACTTTTTCTTGCATGCAATCACAAGTTTACATCTCACAATTCTGACTTTTCTTCCTTCAGAATTCCACAATATAAACTTGCAATTGCAAGTCATAAAGTCAAAATGTGTGATATAAACTCAATTCTGACATTTTTCCTTGGAATTGCGAGTTAAAAAAACAAAACAAAAAAAAGTCCAAATTGCGAGATGACACTGCCTTTGTGATATGATCCCAAGACGTCATATAACTGACATCTTGGGACGTCATTTGACCATACATCAACATCCGCCTTTTTAGGGTACCCTTAAACGTCAGTTAGATGAAGTTATCGGATCCTAAACCTACCCCGTCACTTAACCAACGTTAAAGGTAAAGCGTCAGCTGTATGACGGCCCGGTATCGTCATGTAACCGACGTTTAAGGGTACCCTAAAAAGGCGGATGTTGACGTATGGTCAAAAGACGTCCCAAGATGTCAGTTATATGACTTCTTGTGATGAGACTGTGTTAGATATGACTATCACATTAAAGCATTTGACATGATCAATTTTATTTTATTCCGTCGCTGTACATAAATCTAATCCACTAAATGACCACATACTGAGCCTATGATCCATATTAGACATCAAAGACACTGCATACTGTGACCTGTTTATGCTTTCTATTTCAGTATGCGCTGAACATGTCTAGCTCTTTGCTAAAAATAGTCTTTTAATCATCCCTCAACGGTTATCCACCATTATGTGCAACATTCGCTTTTCTGGAGCAAATTAATTCCATAAAATGCAGCACAGAAATTAAAAAGTTTATCTGTCCTGCTGTAGCCAAAAAAAAAAAAAAAAGAACTTTATAAATACATCAAAGCAACATCCCTGCATATCCCAAAGCTATTTTGGAAGGCAAGCATGCTGGTTTGCCTAGTTGAGCTGAAGGTCTGCAGGGCCTGTGTGTGCACCCTCCATAATATCTCCAGACACATACCAGGTGTACTAATCACTCGCAATCTGGATGGAGTCCAGCAGGGGTCAGCATGCATCACCCTGTTTAAAGGATTCTGTCAGGTAGTGCCTGGAGCTCCCGCAGCAAAGTCCTGCAACCTGACTACAGCAGCTCAGCCATGTGGAACAGAAAAACAACACCCAGCATCACCACAAAACATAATCTACCCCTGTGCACATGGATATCAATACTCATGCCCAAGCACAACCTTACCTGCAGTCTGCAAGAAGAGACAGGCTTAGGATCTGAGGTTTACAGGCAGCAATCTACTGGTCTTGAATGATAAGTAAGTAACTTTAAGCAAGGGAATTGTGCTGATTTTTAGTGTTTAGACTACAAACTTTTTTAAAGGCAAGGACCCCAAACATGAGATTACCATCTCATTCATTAAGGTGTTAATATATATATATATATATATATATATATATATATATATATATTAGGGGTGTCACGATTCTCCAAATCCTCGATTCGATTAAGTTATCGATTCTAAGGTCACGATTCAATTCGATTCTCGATTTTAAAAAAAAATTTAAAAAATGTAAAGCGCAGATTGCTATGCAATTTTTAGACTACACATTTATGCATTATGCAATATAAATTTGTTCACAATGTACACTACACCATTGCCAAATTTAAAATATAACAAAAACAAGTAACATAACTTAATAGTATAACATTTAAAGCCCCTGAAATGACTAGAAAAAAAGTTTAGTTAATTTTGATGAACGAGATTGAACAATAGAGTCAGTAAAACGATCAGAACTTTCCATCACGGACGCGACATGGGGCGTGGCAGTATCGACGATACCATTTTTTATTTCGATTTCAATACCATTGAATTAATTTCGATCAATTTCGATTTAATATCGAAATCGTGACACCCCTAATATATATATATATATATATATATATATATACACTATGTATAATCATTTTATATATATATAAATACACACACATGCATGTACATTTAAGAAATATATAATATAAATTATACATAAATCTATATGCAGTATACACATTAAAATATTTCTTAAATATATACAATGTGTATTAATGTATACAATAAATGTGACTGTTCCAGTGTATTCTGCAGTAAACAAGTCGGTATCACAGCCCACTTGCCTGCACATAAACGCTGTTTTTACGGCAACCCGCTATGCCCGCTACGCCGCGCCCACATTCACCCACAGGCATGTTAAGCCCCATGGGGCTCGCCCTGCTTGCTCTCACAGCAAACTGCTATAATGAAAGCCAATGCAACCAAGCTGTCCGCTCAGACAGACAGTGTTTTTCAGTGTTGTGAATGTGCCCGCTACACCGTGCCCACATTCACTCACAGACATGTTAAGCCTCTAGCTCTCACTGCAAATTGCTCTAATGAAAGCAAGCGCGGCCAAGCTGCCCCCGCCGTCACCGGCGTGCCCCCCGCCTCACTCACTGTAAACACGTGCCCATGTTGCAGCACATTAAAGCTCTCGTGTCGTCACTATGTCACGACCAGAGCACAAAACCAATTCTACCCCAAACATGCCATTCACACAAACATGTGGGCACAGCTTCCCAGGGTTTCGAATTGGGTACTGAACATTATAAAAAGAGGCTATTCCCTACAGTTCGCTCTGCGCCCTCGTCGCTGCACGGCGTGCGTCGAATTTGAGGTAAAAACAGAGGTAGCCAAAATAGCAACTTTAATGAGCAAAGGGGCAATAGAGCTATAAATCTCAAGCTCAGAGCGAAAGGGGCCTTTACAGCAGATATTTTATGGTATCAAAAAAAGACGGGGGTCTCAGACCGGTGTTTGATGTTTTTAGCCCCCAACAGCGCCTTCCAGGCAGCGAGGGGATAGGTAGGTTTAGGGATGAGGTTAGGGTTAAACACCATCGAGCGTCTCAGACCCATTCTAGATCTAGAACAACTGAACAAAGCGCTTGTGAAACTCCAGTTCAGAATGCTTACAACCAGGAAAATCCTTGCGCAGATTTGCCAAGGGGACTGGTTTATGCCAATAGATCTGAAGGACGCTTATTTCCAGATACAAATAGCGTCATGTCACAGGCGATTTTTGAGAGTCGCTTTCGAGGGCCAGGCATATCAATACACAGTCCTACCATTCGGCATTTACGATGTGCATGGACGCAGCGCTCGCACCCCTGGAACTCCAGGGCATGCGAGTTTTGAACTACTTGGACAATTGGCTGATTCTAGCTCAATCTCATTCAGAGCTCATAGAACACAAGACCGTGTTACTCGAACACCTCGAGAAACTGGGTCTCACAATCAATTGGGCGAAAAGCTCGCTGGTCCCAGTCAGAAAATAATTTTCCTGGGCACAGAGCTGAACTCGCTGTCTTTGACAGCTCGTCTGTCGCCAGAGCGCAGGCTAAACTTTCAGCGCTTCACGAAATCCTTCCACTGCGGTGCTTAGTTCCGGTCAAGAGATTTCAGAGAATGCTGGGCTTGATGGCCTCAGCATCATCAGTACTTCACCTGGGCCTGCTTTGCATGCGCCCACTGAACTTTTGGCTCAAAGCACGAGTACCACCTCGAGCTTGGGCTTCTGGTCTGCTTCGCCTCAGGGTCAATCTGAAATGTGTCACAGCCCTGAAACCTTGGAGAGCGACCGACTGGTACCAGTCTGGTGTAAACCTGGGGACTTCCTCGAGTGTGCAGGTGGTGTCCACGGATGCCTCCACCTCGGGATGGGGAGTGCTGCACGAGGGCAAACCGTTCTCCGGCTAACACAGTTTCATCCCAAGAAGCCATATAACTGACGTCTTGGGACGTCTTTTGACCATACGTCAACATCCGCCTTTTTTAGGGTACCCTTAAACGTCGGTTACATGACGATCCCGGGCCGTCATACAACTGACGCTTTACCTTTAACTTTTAGGGGTTTAGGGGTAGGTTTAGGTCTGGGGTAGGGTTAGGATCCGATAACGTCATCTAACCGACGTTTAAGGGTACCCTAAAAAGGCGGATGTTGACGTATGGTCAAAAGACTACGCTGCTCCGGCCAATGGTCAGAACAAGAAAAGCTCCTTCATATAAACTGTCTGGAAATGTTGGCAGTCGACAACATGCTAAGGCTCCTCTGTCCCCGAATAAGAGACCACCACGTCTTAGTCCGCTCGGACAACATGTCAGCTGTATCCTACATAAATCGCCAGGGCGGCGTCCAGTCTCGAAACCTTTTCAGATTGACGGAATGCATCCTGGTCTTGGCTCAGCACAGTCTGCACTCACTCAGAGCAGCACACATGCCTGGCTCCCAGAATTTGGGGCCAGGCAGACTGTCCAGAAACAAATTACCAGCAGGAGAGTGGTCTCTGCACCATGGTGCTAGAAGCCCTGAAAGGAGCCCCATTCGAGCCAATCCAGATGTCGGATATGAAACATTTGTCTTTCAAAACAATGTTTCTCATTGCTCTTGTGTTAGTAAAATGCATAGGGGATCTACAAGCACTCTCAGTGAGCGTTACGTGTCTGGAATTGGGACCTAATGACTCAAACGTCATACTCAAACCAAGACATGGATACATGCCTAAATCCCTCAATACACCATTCAGGGCCCAGGTTATCTCCCTATCTGCCCTACCGGTTCATAATGAGGAGGAAAGCATAGGCCTCCTTTGCCCAGTTAGGGTGTTAAAGGCCTACGTATCTCGCTCGTCTGCTTTCAGACAGACTAAACAGCTTTTCGCTTTGTTCAGTGGTCGCGCTAAGGGCCTAGCCGCTTCGACACAGACCCTATCCAGATGGAAAGTTGACACCATAGCACTGACATACACTACAAAGGGACTTGAGTGCCCTTTAGGTGTTAGAGCACAGGCCACCAGAGGCATGGCCTCATCGTGGGCGTGGTCTAGCGGGATTTCTTTACAAGATATCTGTATTGCGACAGGCTGGTCCTCCCCGTCTACATTTATAAAGTTTTATAACCTAGAAGTTCCCGCCTTACACGTCAAATTGCTGTCGGTTGCGATCCCCGTAGTGTCGGCGCAGAGTACTGCACTCGCTTGAGCACCGCTCAACGGGCTGTGAGTTTTTTCCCGAGGGAAAATAATACCCATACTGTCATTCAGGACTGGCTAGTATTTTTCTCTTCACCGTGACTGTGTGTGACACTGTTATAATGAATAGCCTTCTTGTGGCAAAACTATTGGAGAATGATGCTGCAAGCCTCTCTTCTCGGACTCTTATGCACTATATGCACTCCAGGCACGTGCCCCTTGGGACTTTGGTGTTGGATCCCTACATGTACGGCATTTTGCCTAGTGTTTCCCTAGAGTAAGATATTACGCAGTACGAGAGAACCTCTTGTAAGAGAACGTACTCAGTTACTAATGTAACCTCGGTTCTCTATAGAAGAGGGAACGAGTACTCCATATTTTGCCGTACCTGCTACACGCTCTGGTTCGCTTCGGCGAACAAAAACCAGTCATATCAGCCCATCGAGCTATATTTATAGGGCAAGGCCACACCTGCTTCGGAGGGAGTGTGACGCAATGGGTGCGAAGCGCCCCCATTGGACAGTCACCAAAGGGCTGCTCTCGATAAGCTGCTGCAGTTGCCGCAGGACAGCCAATAGGGACGCTAAGCCGCCTTGCCTATGTCTGCATGCTGCCGCAACGCATTTTACAATAATTCAAAATTAAGGATAATTTTTTGGCTTCAATATCTTGAGGAAAAGAGGTTTTCCCCTAGCGTAAGATAGCCTATTACGCAGTACTCGTTCCCTCTTCTAGAAAGAACCGTGGTTACACCAGTAACCGAGTACGATTTCGATTGTAAAACTAATTAAAATATAAACTAATGTTTTAAAAATGTTTTATTTGGCAAGTGACCATGGTATAAGTGGGTTAATGCACGACGAGGACACCCTTAAACTAGGACACCCTTAAGCTTAAACTTGGACCACTGGCTTCCGGCAACTATGGCTTCTGGAGTATGGCGGAAGGATGACCTCTGACCCAGTATTTTTAAACCACTGCAGTTGTATGTATTACCCTTATGGATAGATGAGATTTTTGGAGCTTCAAAAACTCACTATTGTGCTACAGGTATGTGCTATATGTAATTGTAATATTTTGTAATATATGTGCAATATGTAATATGTACTGCTATTACAAAGCTGGGAAAAGCCAGGATATTGTTTTATACAACTCCAATTGTGTTCGGCTGAAAGAAGAAAGTCCTATTCGCCTTAGATGGCTTGAAGAAGGGTGACTAAATTATGGAATAATTAATTTTACTATTAACTATTCCTTCAAAATAAATGTTTTATGTTCTAATATATTTTAAAATATAATTTATTTCTGTGATGGAAGTGGTGAATTTTCAGCTTTCTTCAATGTCAATCATTATAATATGCTGATTTCATGAGCAAGAAAAAAAATATTATGTTGAAAACCATTGGGCTGTTTAATTTTTTTAGAAAAAGAAACAGAATTTGATGTATAGAAACGGCCAAATAACATTTCATTAATTTTAAAATATAAATCTTTTGTAAAAAATAAATAAATAAATAAATAAATAAATATTTTAAAATCAATTTAATAGGACCTTGCTTAATAAAAGTATTAACAAAAAACAAACAAACCTTAAAAAAAACCTTACTAACCTTGAAGTTTTAAACAGCAGTGTGTGAGTGTGTGTGTGTGTGTGTGTGTAATATATTTAGCTTTTTACTATTACAAACTATGCCTGTCAATACAATGAAAAAATGTGATTACTGATTTTGACTGCAATAATATCAAATTCAAATATCAAACTGTGACAAAATAAACATAATTGATCACATAAAATTTTAGGTTAGCCTGGTAATGTTAACAAGCCGTAAAAATATATTTGGTAAAATTACCTCAAAGCAACCTATTACAGACCCCTGATGGTCCCCACCCAGTTTACAAAAAATAAATAAAATATTGTAAAACAATCAATATAAAAACAGCTGTCAGTCCAAGAAAAAAAAAAATCAAACACACACACACACACACAATCAGACAATTTGCCTTGGTCATGAAGAAAGTCTTAGTTTTGAATTCCATACTGCTTATGACAGGAGATGTTATTTAAGCCGTTCGGCCTAAATAAACGACCACTTGAGTCAGCACCACGTAAATTGTGTGCAGTCGTGCAACTACCTCAGAAACATCACTGTCAGACACATGATCAGGTGAAGCTGCGAGAGTTCTGACCTGTGCATGTGAAAAACTTGGACTCTCCGACGCTCAGCTCCACCTTCTTTAGCGAGATTGACACCTGGAGGACACCTGGAAAACAGAGAAGAAACAGAGAGGGATAAGAGAGAGGTAGCAATCAAACATTCAGTCCACGAACTGCAGGTACAACAAGAGTGCTTCACATGTTCCTGCCACAGAAATCACACCAAAACCACAGGCGGCACAAGAAAAAAAAAAAAAAAAAAACGGAGGAAAAAAAAAAAACCCTGTCTTTGTGAGCAGGAAGAGATGAGAGGGTACCGTGAGACTTCTATAAGCCCCCTCCCAATCACTTCAATCAGGCTAGCCAGCCTGGAACATCTAGCACCTAGTACAATAGAAGTGAGAAAAAGAAAAGGACACAAGACAGACACAGCTTTGATCTGTCCTTTTCTTTTTTATATACGTGGTCTGTTCTTACATTGCATTTCACTTTCAAGGAGGAATCCACTAAGAATGAACTTCACCTGTCGGTAGTGTCATTTATTTGTGTGCGTTGCCTGTGTTGTTTTAACATGTGATTCACCAATTTAAATAGTTTAAAAATTGAACTCTTGCAGAATGTTCAAGCTGTTCTTTTTTACACAATTAAAGAGAATAGTGACAACTAGGGCTGTCATTAACTGTATATTTATATGTATCTGTTGCAATGACAAAATTATGTCTTTGCATAGCCAGATGTGGGTCAGAACTTTTTTTTTAAAATATATATATTTAGTAACTCTATTCCATTTAAGTTTCCATTATTATGGATTATGATATGATTACACAATTTAAATTATATATATATATATATATATATATATACAATTTTTACCAAATACTATATATATATATATATATATATATATATATATATATATATATAGTATTTGGTAAAAACCAAGACGACAGAAGTGTTGATCACAGAGCTACTATTTGCAGATGACTGCACAATCTTTTTCCACACACACACGAAGATACTCATCTACCAGAAAATTTGGTCTGACTACCAGCCTGAAGAAAAGTTATTGAGATTTACACCTATAATCCACCCAAATTCAACATCAATGGCCATCATCTGAACATAGTGGTTTGCAAAGCGTTGTTTTAAATGATGCAACAATGTACAAGGACACGGACCACCGATTCGCCAAAGCCAGAAACTTATCTGGCAAAACCGTTCATTGTACCTGCTGACTAAGATCCAAGTTTACAAGGCAGTAGTCCTCAGCACTCTGCTGTATGGTATCCAAATCATTGGTCCATAGAAAGCACATCCAACACCAGCTTCCATCAACGGTATCTCCATTCCATCATGGAAACTCTAGCAGGACTTCAATACAAACACAGAAGTTCTGGAAGAAGGGGGCTCGCCAAGCATCAAGACCAGGCTACAACTGCGTCAGCTTCACTGGGCAGGACATGTGTTACACATGGGCGACGGAAGGCTGCCGAAAGCAGTGTTCTATGGGGAACTTTGCCAGGGCAAGTGAAATCGAGGAGCCCCACACAAGCGCTATGAGGCTCAGCTGAAGCAACAGTTGATATTAACTCCCAAAACTGGCAGATACTGGCAGCTGATAGATCAGGAACATCACATTGAAGGCTGCAAGGGAATTTGAGGAACACACAGTGAAAACTGCCCAAGCGAAGCATAAACAAAAGAAAGAATTGGCTGCCCAAGTACCCAACGACAGCTATCCGACCTTTCCCTGCCCCATCTGCTCTAAAGTCTGCAAGTCTAAGACAGGCCTTTGAAGTCACTTGAGAGCATGCTAAATAACTTTTTTGTGTTACATGCAATAAATAAATATGGTCATTTGAGTTTGGGACGTCATGATGGTTTATACGTTTTGAGGCATTTTTTTTTTCCCCTTGAGAACTGCTCAGTACCAGATGAAATCACAATGTTCTTCTACCCGCAGAGCTAATCATACGGAGATGACAGTGGGAGGTCTGGGGTTCCTTGTTAAGTGCTCTGTGAATTTGTGGCTCAGGTAGAGGTGAGGGCAGCGGACCGCATATGAATGAGAACACGAATGCATGCTGGAACATGAATGTGCGAAAAAGTCGACAAACTCCTTGAGCTGGAGGTCTCTCCATTCATCCGAGAATGACCAACTCGTGTTCTTTTTATGATTTTCACACATCAGCATGCAAGAGTCAAGAGCAAACCGGACACGTACACACTTACGAACACACAATTAAACACACACTGACGGAGCTCATGGGGAAGGCACTGGCATCTGCCGTAATGATTAATTACAGCACAGTGGGGCTGGAGCTAGTCATCTGGATGGAGACAAGTCTGAGGGTATGCGAGTTCCTGCCCGTAGCAACCAGAATATAATTACTCCCCAAGACTACTTTGGGAGAAAAAAAAAAAAAAAAAACTTCTCATTAAGCTTTTTTTTTTTTTTTTTTTTTTTTTTTTACTTATTGTACTGTTCAACACATTTGGTGTCACAAGTTAATGAACAAAATTACACTTAATATAGTGCAGAAATGATTTGAAGACATTATTACATTGTACACTCTGAGGCAAGCACATTAACACCTGTAATCAAAGTGGATCTCAGAGATGATGTCAGGCAAACTGCCTGTGCTACTTGCAGACTCGCTCTCCTGGAACACATTTCCATGTGTTTGATTTATCCCAAAGCAAAATTCACCTCAAGAAATTACAGTGTGTCAAAGAAAATGCAAAATTCATGGGTATAAATATTGATCTTGATCTCAATTTTGCACACACGTCTAACATACAAGATAACGAGCCCCTAAAAATACAAGTAGCAGAGGTAGCAGTGATGTAATCCACGACCATATACCTTTCTTTCGATTAAGTAAATGTTTATTTGCTGGTGCTCACCTGCCTTTTTTATTGCCACGTTTGAGTTCAGATAGCATGTGGGTTATCTTTGACAACTTCCCTCAGAGCCAAGACTGGAACTAAATGTAATTAAAGCAATTAATTACTTCACACTCACACGAGAGTCGGTTCTCTGATTAAACCTAACTGTCTGTCAGCCAAATAATCTAATTAAACTGATATGAATCAACAGCCATTGGAGCAAAAATAGAGAACAGCACTTTTTTCACTAATTTACTAGCTAAGAGAATACACTATTGACATATCAGACCACCAATAGGGAAAATCCTTTTTTTATTTATTTATTTATTTTTTTTTGGCATTAAACATCTCTATTTTAAGCAGTGGAACGCAAGCGTGTTTCGCTGGTAGTGCGTAGCTCTCTAAAAGCAGAAAACAGAAGAGCACGGGAGAGTGCGGGAGTTGTAGAGATGAGTTGCCAAAGCAATTAGATGTGCAAATGGAGAGAGCCAGCCACAAATGTGCAGGCTGTGCCAGAATAAATAAGTAATGCCCCAAAATATCAATATCTGCCAAAAAAACAAAAATAAAAAATTACTGAGCTATAGCAGCAAGAAACTTCTGTAATGATAACTAAAAGCCGTAAAACAAAGTGCATGGGTCCTCATAATATTTGCTCACGCGGGACCCCAGACCAATAAAAACAGTCTGAAATCAATGGAGGCCTGAGGTGAAGACATAACTCTCTGCCTTACTGTAATTCTGTGGTGTGTTTGCCATTCCGAACAAAATGCACGTGTGGAAGAAGTGAGTTAGCGGTAATTAAGCAGGCAGCAGTGCAAAGCCCCCAGGCTGAAAGGCTACACACCAGTCATTTAATAGTGTGCTATGCTTTCTCACTGCCACTGAGATCATTCTTATCTTCAGAATGAGTTCCTCTTAATGAATCGGTCAAACTGAAATGCAAATAGGTCTGTCTGAACCTGACCGTGATTGGCTACATTCTTAAAAATAAAGGTCCCAAAGGTGGTTTTCACAGCAACCATTTTTTGGTTTCCGAAATATAACCTTTTTAGTGAACAGTTCTTTAAATAACCATTTTTTTTTGTTAGTGTGAAGAACATTTTAAAAATCCTTTTGTGGAATGGAAAGATTGGATGTTTGATGGTTCTTCATTGAACCATCAATGGCAATTAAGAACCTTTATGTTTCAGAGTGTAATGTACCATAAGACAGACCCAAACCCTTCTTAGCTACCATCATGAGTTGGGATATTGAACAACCTGATCACACTAAATGCGTTTTTATAGCACGCATGTGTATTGTCGTGTAATTTATATGCTAAAGTGAGTTTTTACGTGTATATGATACGCTTGTTTAGGTGTGTGGTGCGTGTGTATTATACGTTTGGGTAGAATTAGTGGTGTGGGGTGCATGTGTATTACACACAAATGAACTGCGTATCAAATGCGTGCGGAAAACTGCGTCACATATGCACGTAAAAACCCATTTTCGAATATAAATTACACAACAATACACGATGCGTGTTATAGAGATGCATTTACGTGAGAACATGCTGTATTGAAAGTTGCAAATGAACGAACGAACGAATAAAGTAATGTAATACAGCGAAACTAAATTTTTTTGCGTTGGGACGGACAACATGAGAAATACCAATACATTCTCATCCTTTGGCGTCATATAGGTGACGCCATATGACATTTCGTCGACTAAGCACATGGCACCCTTTAGCGTCAATATAACATGCACTGTTATGTGTAGGTTTAGGTCTGGGGTAGGGTCTGCGTCTCATATTGACGCTAATGGATGCCACTCACCTGTGTGACGCCTTGGGTTCTGCGTGTTATATTGATGCTAAAGTGTGCCATGTGTATAGTATTTCGACGAAATGTCACATGCCTTCATCTATATGACGCCAAAGGATGAGAACGGGGTAGAAATACCCAAATAAAAACAAATATAATTATAATATTAATAAAAACACAACAGTAACACATATTTCAGTGGAAATTCCCTTTTAGCAAATCACTCAATCAATTCTTTGACAGGATTCATTTTTAAACAAATTCAAAAAATCCAATTTTCGAAAAGTTGTTGGACTTTTTAAGCTAACTACAAAAAACATACCTTTACTTGTAGATATTCAATACTCACTCGCGCAATCTTATTTTCACATGGTGTCAAAAGAATGATATGTGGTTTGAAAAGTTGTCTTTCC